CAATCACCATTTGCCCGCGAATTAAAGTATTAAAACAAAAATTGGATATATCGTCAAAGTTCAGAAATCAAGATCAAGCACTATTTGAATATGAACTAGCAGTGAATTTATCGAATACTGAGTAAGCCAACTTGCTGAATATAAAATATGTACAGTTAACAAGCGTATGGTTTTAATAGGAAATCACAATTTTCTGCATTAATGCACTTCTGTCCTGTGTTGCATCATTTTCTACCAGAGGATTACAAAGATAATTTTGTAAATGAGACCATTTATGATATAATTGAAGACAGTGCTCCAAATCTCGACTATTTGATGCGTGAATGTCGTTGGCAGCAACATAGAATTAACTGTTTCGATTATCTCTATCCAGTGATGACTAGCGAAGGTCTGTGTTTTAAATTTAACGCATTAAATTCGGATGACATTTACACAGATGAGTAAGTTTATATGTTAGTACATTGGTATGTCGATGCATCTAATTGCATTATATTTTTGTAGAGTGGTTTCGGAAATGATAAAAATGAGGAAAAGTCCAAACGTGTTAGGATGGAGTTTAGAAACCGGTTACACCCAAAAATCAGACCAAAAAAATATAAAGTATCCAAATACGGCTGATGCGGGGCAAAAGAATGGCCTTGAATTGCTTCTTTCTCTTTTTGAAAATGATTATGACTTTATGTGTAGTCAATTCCAAGGAATCTTAATTACACTTTCGGTACCAGGCGAAACAAGAATTGAATTTCAAAATTCTGCTAGTATAGAGCTATCAGAAAATTATCGATTAATTATCGAGCCTAAATTTTCGGATATTTCGAAAGGACTTCGCCGATATAAACCAGAACAACGTGAATGTTTTTTTAACTCCGAGCGACAATTGCGTTTCTACAAATTTTATACTAAAGACAACTGTGTTGATGAATGTTTTGCGAATGTCACAAAGAAATTATGTGGATGTGTACTATTCTCGATGCCAAGTATGCCAATTTTAATTGAGTTCCATTGGGAGATAAATTCATTGATTTATTTGTTTAAAGGGGATAATCAAACGAAAATTTGCGGTGCAGCTAAAATTAAATGCTATAAATATGCTGTCAGAAAATTGTATTCTCTTTTTGGACAGATGCACTTAAAAGAATGCAATTGTATTGATTCATGTACATATATCGAATACAATTTAAAAGTCGAACAAAGCCATTTATATATGGAAGAAACCACACGCTCTCAAACGAATAACACAAGGTAAGAATAATTAGAATCTACTAAGCAGCTAATTGAATATTTATATATCTCATTTACATTTTTAGCCAACGCCAAGTACATTTGTCTATATTTTTCAAAGATTCATCAGTTGGGGTAGTAGAACGAATGGAAACATATACGATCACCGATTTTTTGGCGATTTGTGGTGGTTTGCTTGGAATATTCTTGGGCATTTCACTGTTGAGCCTCGTCGAAATTATTTATTTTGCCACTCTTCGATTGTTTTGGATCATTCGCCGGCCGAGAACTGAAAATATAGAGACACCACCTGACATACCACTTCCGGAAAATCTAGATGACTAGCATCGAGTGGTTTGTTAAAAAAATATTTTTGTTTGAACAGACTGTTGAGATATTTCCAGCCAGATGAATCAGCCCTGGGCCTGAGCTAACGTCAGGCGCTGAAATGGAGTGAAAACAATACACTGACAAAACTAGGGTTATAATTTTGACAACATTGTTTTGTAAATGCTTACATTCCAACGATTATTGTCGATATATATTATATGCTGTCAAAATCATAACCTTAGTTTTGTCAGTTAAGAAGTGATTGTTATGGTTTAAGAAACACTTCCAGTGCTACAATCACTATAACAATCATTTCTATTGTTTTCAATCCATTTCAGCGCCTGATGTTATTTGCCTGAGCTGATTCATTTGGCCTAGAATATCTTTGTATGAAGAATCCAAACTATTTTCATACAGATAAATCTACTACGGCGCTTTTGCTATGTGATACGGACATTTTTCGTGGAATACTGTCGGAATAGCAACATTCATGGAATTCGATATCTCGAACCCAATAGAAATTTACATTGGAGTGAAAAGTAAAGACAAAAAAGTAATATTATGCGTTATTTAATTATGTGTTTTTTAGGCTCTTGTGGTTAATTGCCATTGGCATTGCATTTGGATATTGCGGCTCAGTTATTGAAAATAAATACACTAAATGGCAAATGAATCCAATCAAAATAAATACAAGCGATACCAAGGAACGACTTCAATCGATCCCATTTCCAATGGTTACAATTTGCCCCAAACTCAAAACTAGAAAATCTGTGTTTGACATAACTGCTACTCTCAAATCACTTCCACGTTCGAATTTATCTGAGGAAAGGTGAGAATCGATAAAAAATCCCTTTGTTTCAATTGATTTGTTTGAAGCAATAGCAAATATTTTTTTAGCTCGAGGCGATTAAAGGCTTTGACTCATATCTGTCCAATTCTGTACAATTACATTACATTCGAGGACTATGTTGCAAGCGAATCAATTTATGAAACTATACAGGACATAGCACCGACATTTGAATTGGATTGTTGGTGGAATAATGTTAATGGTTGCTCGGAAACTGTGATACCAATTTTGACTGAGGAAGGTCTTTGTTTCACTTTTAATGCTTTAAATTCATATGAAATATACACTGATGAGTATGCTATGTTTATTGTTTTCGGGCCATATCATATTTGCCAAATTTTTCTTTTTCTTGCTAAACACATTTAATAACATACAACCAATTTTTCTCGCGAGAATATGATGCAGCCACTGATAAAATTGGATAAAATCTTGCGAGATACATTGATTGTATGCAACCAAATATGTTGAACAAAAATTTCCTTTATCAAGTGTGAATTGGCCCTTACATGTTATTTTCATAAGTTTTTCAATATAAATGAAAATTCATTTGTTTCTCATGTATGATTAAAGAATGGCTCCCGGAATGATGATTGTCAAAAATAATCCAAACGCGTCCGGATGGAGTTTGGAAAGTGGATATTCAAATCCATTGGTTTTTAGGAAAAACTATCCATTTCAAGCTGGGAATTATAAACGAATCAATTTCATGCATACAGTGCTTCAAATAGACTCAAATAATTACGAGCATAAATGCAGTGGTATTGAACAAGGTTTTAAGATAGTTTTATCAATACCTGGCGAAGCACTGAGAATGTCACAGAATTATTTTCGAATCACACAGCTTAGTTTCATTGAATTGGATCCTGAATTGATAACAACTACAGACAGATTACGCCACTTTCAACCAAATCAACGAAAATGTTTCTATGGCGACGAGCGACGATTGCGGTTCTTTAAAATGTACACCGCAATAAACTGCGAAGAGGAATGTTTGGCGAATTTCACCAAGATAATGTGTGCATGCGTAAAATTCTCGATGCCAAGTAAGTGTCCACATTGAATTTATTTGCAAAACAAAATTTAATCAAATTATTGTTCGACAGGAGATGAGAATACAAAAATATGCGGTGGCGCAAAGATGAAATGCTTGAATGATGCACGAAAGATATTCTGGGCAACGATTAGTGGAAAAATAGTTCGAGACAAATGTAATTGCTTGCCCGCATGTACAGTTATCAAATACAATGCTGAACTACGCAAATTAAATTTAAAAACTAATATTCGTTCAACCAACTTCAAAAAGGAGTAAGATTCTTATTTATGAAATCCATTTTTTGTACACAATTTCATCTTCTCTCGATTTTAGTCATATACTTTCATTAGCTAAAATACAGTTTAAATTGGCGATTGTGAAGAAATCAGAGAAAATTGAGTTATACAGTGTTTCGGATTTTTTGGCAATTTGCGGCGGTTTATTGGGAGTATTTGTAGGCGTATCGGTCTTGAGTATAATCGAACTCGTCTATTTCGCCACTCTTCATTTATTCTGGAAAATTCGATGTGCGCCGTCGGTGAATGCTGTCGGACCATCTAATGGTGAAGTAGAGAATATCCCTTCAACGAGCGATCAAAATATGTACATTGAAGACATTGAGAATTAGAAAAAAAGACATTAAATTCACATTAAATTAGTAATAATTTAGCGATATACGATTAACAATTATTTGGTTCACTCAAATAATGATTTTGTAAAAAATACCATTCAACGAAAGTTTGAGGCAATTTCGAATCAAAATTCAGTACACTTTCCATGCAATATTTTTGTTTTCCATTGAAATTTCTTGTTGGTGAGATTCTGTATTTTGACAAGAAAATAATATAAAGTAAAAATATGCTTGGATGTTTTAAATTAAATAAAAATCTGATTTGCTTCGTAAAGCACAAAAACTATCAAAAATGTCAATGAAATAAAAAACCTCGACACTAAGCCGTTAACATAAATTAGTCAGAGCTAATTCAGTGAGTCTCCTGTCAACCTCAGTTATTTTGTGATTTGGATCTCTTTATTTGTGGTTTTTTCGCTCTCTATCCATCTCTCTCTCTCTCTCTCTCTCTCTCTCTTTCTCTCTCTCTCTCTCTTCGAAGAAAAAAATCGATTTAATGACGAAAAAAGTGAACAAACATTTCCACTTGTTTTACTGTCTCGTTCGTCATTCATTTGCTTTATTTTATTTCATCGGCGTCATTTCATATTCAGTTTATGTGAAATTCACGAGAATTTGTGTTAAACGAGCGCGCTATGAACAGGACAATGTCCTCATTCAGCACTGTATTTTGTTTGTGTTTTTGATTCAGTTTTGCCCTTTTTATTACCTATGAATTGTGCAAATGTGTTTTTGATTAAAATTGTCGTGAGAGGCTTGGCTGCAATTTGAATTAAAACTACAACAATCACGAAAAAATGCAAACATCTTTTATTTATCCCGTTATTGCACTCATAAAATCATGCCACACATATATACATGCAATAGCGTTCGATACACATGTTCGTATATAAATGAACAAAAGCCATCCATTTATTATTCATTGCATATTATTACGTTGACGTTGCAAATTGGCGAAATACATTCATGTTTGTTTGTTGCTCTACATAGCTAATTAATGTAAAATTAGCAATGAATTTGAGCCATGCATGCAAAATGAATTAGAACAAAATGTACAATTTATAAAATATTTATTATTATCGATTGAACTAGATTTCATATTTTTCGCTTTTTCTTCTACAACGCCGAATATGTTATCACGTACATTCTTCCTTCATTTGTGATGATAAAACGTTTTATCGTTTGCTGACGCCGTTCATCCATTTAAAAAAAGGTGCATGGGATGTTTCTACGTGCCAAAAAGGGATTTACTATAAAAATGCACTACCAAAAAATCTAATCGAAAACAACTACTACACCTTCAATGGCCATTATCATTCATATTTGATGGGTATGCTCTAAAGCAAAGTGACTTTTATTTAAAGTCATGTTCTCTGCCATATTATTTATCCGGTCTAATCATAACTTTTTGCCACTTTGGCTCGTAATGCAGTTGTAGTTTGGTGATGCATACGAAATGCGTGAATGATATATGATATTTTATTTGTCCCAGGTGTTCTATTATCCTACTCCTTTATCGTTCTCTATCTCTTTCTCTCCCACTCTATCACCCTCTATCTCGTTTCTTCGTTAACATTTCTCACTTTCGCCAAACTACAACCCAATTTTAATCAAAAACTCTAAACTCATTCAATAATACTTATAACTTCATCACACTCCAAACATGCATGGATTTTGTTGTCGGACTATATATCGTTACTCAGTTGTTGAACAAGAATAAGTAAACAATGCAATTAAATGCATATAAACAATGTGCTCAAAACGCTCAGCGACTCAATGGCTCCAAAATCTGCTTTACAACTTGAATTTCATTACAAAACAAACACGATACAATCCAAACCAATTGAATCAACTGCTCATTGGGCGAGTTCAAATTAATCTTGTGTTTAAGTAATTATATTTAGTTTTAAATGGTATTTTATTAAAAGTTGTACACTCATTATTTTCCAGCCAATATTTTGGTGAGTGTTTTTTTTATTCTGCCCTGGCATTGAGTTAGAATCAGTTGGAAGTTGGCGTAAATATTAGAATAAATAAAATGCAATGTCTGCATTTATTCAGGCCAAATGCTCGCGTACACGGACCACAGCAGGTGCTTTTTCAGGTAAACATAATATGATGACAACGGAGTGTGACTATAGTGCATTCTGTTTTTTTTTGAGTACCTTCACCTTTATATGCACCGACATATGCCCGAAAATTTTGTTTGTTTGCGTCATGCATTCATGTTCTTTCGACACACACATGAACAACATATGTTTGTGCACACATACACGATGCTTGCACGTATCGTCCGTATCTCTGTTGCACAGTGCATTTTATTTATTTTGCTCATTCGACTGAATATGCATTTGAACAAAATGCCCAATGTACAGTGAATAAAATGTTCACACTCTATGCTCATATCCACTGACAGATTGTACAAAAAGTTCCGTTATCAGCATTTGAAATGATGTCATGCTGATATTGTGTATTTACATGCAATATTACGTTGATTAGTCATTGGTTCAATGCTATGTAATTTCTTCATTAAAACTCATTTGAAAATTGAATTCATTTGCCATTTGATGTCGTTTTCATGCAAATGGGGGGAAAAATAACCAAGTCAAATGCAATAAATGTAGTTTTGAAATCATAATTTCATTTGTCACTATGATGTCATGTATGTGCGTCGAGTGCTGTTTTCAACTGAATTTTCAATATTTATATAAGAAATCATGCAAATGGAAAATGCTCATTTACCCACTTACCTTTTCCATTTTCATTTAAGCCTGATCGATGCTCTCATGGTTACTCTATATGTATGGAAAATAGTAAAAACGACAGAAAAAAAAAAACACATTGCAGTTATTTTCATTTACGCATTCATTTATTTTTGTTCATAAATTATGACATTGCATAATTTCATTATTCGTACGAGATTTATTGGTTTTGCTTTCTTAATGTTAAGAGCTTGGTTTTTATTAAATTTGTTTTTATCTTATAAATTAATCTCTTCTTTCATTAGGTTTTTTTTAGTTATTTGTTTTTTTTTGGCTTGGAAAAACTCTCTAATCATCAATAATACTTAAATAGCTGATTTTTCTTTCTATTGAAGGTTCAGTGAGATACATTTGTTTTTTTAATTTCGAAAAAAATTTACACGATCAAATTTATGGATGTTAAAATAGCCATCATTGGCTTGCGTACGGTTAATCCGTCGCAGTATGCTCACAAAAAGTTCTTTTTTTATTTAAAATACGATCCGAATCGTATTTGTGCCATTATTTGCACGTATCTTTATTCGAACGATTTTATGAAGATTTTTATTGGTATTTAAATGTACATCTCTGTCACACTTCAATGCCAATGCACATTGTCGATATCAATTGTGTAAACCGAATTTGATTTGTGATAGAGACTACACTTTATTCGGCTCATTTTGGAGCATTAAATTATCAACGATATCAACAAGCATCGTTTTATTTTTATTAATTCAATTTTTGGTTTGTCTTTGAATAAACAATGGATTCGAAAGAGGTAAAAATGCAAATCAAGCATTTTCCTTCCTTTTATATTTATATTTATATCATATTTACGTTTGGTGTGTATGATTTGTTTGTATTCAATTTAGTTTTAAATTTGTTATTTTGTTTAGCTAATTCTTATGAGATAATGTTTTTTTTTGCTGATTATATCAAAGCATGACATGAATCAGTCAGTCGATTGTGTCATACTGAACTCGATTCTGGTTTTGATATTCGACGTCTGATTTAAGTCATGATCGGATTTAGTCTGTGAATGTGTGTGTTTGTGTGTGTGTGATTTATTTTTTTTATTTGGATTTTATTTTCTTTTGTTTTCATTTGCAATTTTAACTAATTTTACTTGGTATTGTATATAGTAGTGTATTGGTAATATAAAATTTAGTTTTTTTTCTCGATCTTTATAGATATATGTTTTATTTTTGTCCACAATGTATTTAATCTTTCTTTTCTTCGCATGCTGATTATATGTATACGCACCAAATACGATATATGATACGTAATCATAATGAATGATAAATATTTGGTTTGTCGAGTGAATTCGTGGTTATTCTTTTTCTTTCTACCTCTCTCTCTCTCTTTCTTTTCATCGCGCGAATCTGTCGCGGCAGAAAAAATTGATTGATTGAAAAAACAATTAAATCAAATGAAGCATTTTCAGTTCAACTGAAGCGCAGGATAAAATGCATGGAATAAAAGCCTTTCGATTAGCCAATCGAATTTATGAACTCTAAATAACGAGAGGTAATGAACAATTTGCATTCCATCAAAAATCATGTGTTTTGCATTTTGCCAATTGGAGAGGATGATATCACACACTGTTTTCAAAAGGTTTTTAATTTTAAGAATTAAACAATAATCAACAATTTAGCCATATGCTTGAGTCAAATGTATACATATAAATATATTTCTAATCACTTATTGGGCCTGGTTTTATGCTTAATTTTTTCTTTTAAATGTATGAACGGCTCGAAAACTGGTTTTGACAATTATTTTTCAATGTAAAGTATAAAAAAACGAATGTTATGTTATTGCATTGTGTACGGTATTAATATGGATTTGTTTGAAATTCATTTATTGTTGTTCATTGATTTGAGTGGGTTATTTTTGAGAGGAAGTTATGGGTATGTTTTATTCACTTGGAAAATTGGACACTATGTCAATCGATACGCTAATTTATATTTATCACTCAAAGCCGTTGTATAGCGATTTATCTCCATGTATTTATGTATATATATGCGTTTGGTAAACATGAGAGCATTTTTTGATTTTCAATTTATAGCATTTAGTTTTCAACTGACTTGGTTTGTCTTTCATTCTATTACAAATAACTGTACATAATTTAGTGATTCTATTGAAAAAGGCATACAAGAGGTTCAGTTTATTCACTTTTCTTCTTCTTCGTGTTTTTTTTTTGTTAAACTAAAATGTACAAATACATCTCTTCACTTTCGATCCATTCATTTTATATGCATCTATGGACTATTTATTTGCTTTTTTTTTCAACTATTTTGACTGCGATTGTTGACGATATTTTTTTCACAGATCGCTTGTAATGTGTGAGTGTGTACTAAACAGATTTTCAATTCGCATTTATTGTTGTTGTGTGGCTGTTAGCGTTTAGAGACTTTGTAACGGTTATCATTTTTTTGTAATTTGGTTTTTATTGAAGAGTTTTCGCTCTATAAAAATGTGTCGTTTATTTCACTGCTTTTCATTCACTATCTAATCGCCTCTTTCGCTTTGTTCTTGTTTTTTTTTCTTTTAAATTTTATTTAGCTAATTTTTGTTTTTTCAGAGCGTTACATCACATGTATTTATCTACCCGTAAAAAGTAACATAAAAAATGTAATTTAAATGCGCGCCCAACACGTGTGTACGTGCAATGGTTTTGGCTGCAAATTAGAGAAAGAAAAATTAAATACATGCAATTTTCTTTTAAATACATGGAACTTTTTAAGTTTTATTGTGTGTGTTAAATAGATTGGATTCGATCATAAATTCATTCTATTATAAAGATATTAACATGAATCTCACAAGAAAGACTCTTATAGTTTTGAAATGAATAAAAACCAAACTAAAGAAAAAGCCCTGTAGCAAAAACGGTTGACAACTTGAAAATTAACAAAAAAACCGCACATTTTCCACGCATCAGCTAATTTCACGATTTTACCAAATTCCATTTCACCGCGTAAATTGCTTTATGTGTGTATGTGTGTGTTATGTCGTTTTTTGTTCTTTTGTTTTTTAATAAAATGTGTTGTCATAATTTATTTATAATGCAATAATATTCGTAAAAGCTTTTCATTTGTTAGGTTTACCTTATATTTTTTTCTCATTTTTTTTTCTTTGTTTCGTTTAAAAAGTACATTTTTGTTGCCATTTTAACAAAAAACACTAGGCATTGAAAAACACATTTATATATAAATAATATACTTTTATTCTTCTTTTTTTTCCTCAAGAATTCTTATCTCCATCATTGTTTGAGTCTCTTTTTCGTCAATTTCTGTTCACAATATATAAAGATTCTGTAATATAAGTATATTTGCAAATGACTCTCGGCGCGTGTATGTTTAAACGTAAAATTTGTGTTTTTAGTGGACATTAACCTTTTTTTTTGTTATTGGAATTTAGTGGACTGTCGATGAAATTTGAGCTTAATTGCATCGTGGATTGTGTTTTTTTTACAATTTATTTTTTCTATTTTATTTGTGTTGCATTCGGCAAATTTATAGGGGCATTCAATAGGGTGCAAAAAAAATGTGTGTACACATTATGAATAACGCAATTGAAAAGAGAATTTTTTTCCCCGCGTGAAATCAAATCGAAAAGCTATATATTCATTTTGAGTTTTGGAAGAAAATGGATGTATGGAAATATTGTTTCCGTCGTCATCGTCAACCACGTGCGAAATAATAATCGAAAAAGGAAATTGTGGCGGGTCAAATCAATTTCTATTTTTTCCCACTCATTCAAACCTGACCAACCATGTTGTCTCCGCATTTGAACCACAAAATAGTGTCAACTTTAAGTTTTGTTACTGAAAATCCACCACAATGGCATTCGTCGCGCATTTTTCCCTCAAATTCCATTTTGGCTCATCAGCCAAAGATAAAGATCACCCACAAGTCATTTTTGTTTCCTCGTCTTCGGCCATAAAAACAATGTCAACAAATGTAAAATGTTCTTATTTACAAGTGCTTTAATATCAAGTTTACATTTCGATCATGATGAACGATTTTGATTGGCGAGTGTATATGTATTTTGTGTGGATAAATGAGATAAAAAAGATAAAAAAAAAACCATTGGTGATCATTGAAGACTGAAATGAACCAACTGGTTGTGACTGCATTTCATTGCCGCATGCCTATTCAGTTCGATCATTAACAACAATTCGATCACATAAAACTGCATTAAGATTGGCGTGAATCTATCTGGGGGAAGAGGGTTAACTTAGATTCGTTCCAAACCTCACTGAAACGAAACAGAGAAAACGAGAGAAACAGAGAAATATAAAACGAGAGACACAATAATTTCGGTGTTTGATATATTTTATTGGTGTGAATGTGCTTGATTGTGGTGGAATAAATCCAAATGGGCTACTGGGTGACTTGAAAGCGTGAACAATAAAGGTCAGTGACATGAATAGCATCGGTTTTGCCACTTTTTTCAAATGGTTTTATGTTTTATATGCTTTCAATTGCTTGTTAATTGCTACGAGTAATGAAATTGGATGAAATTATGAGAAAGTTTTTTATTTTGTGACCACGAAAAATTGTGTATGTTTATCTTGATTCTGACAGCATTAAATCTATCAGAGCAAATGATAACGGTTTGTGAGATGATACACCATTTCAAATGGTAAATGGATACAAGAAGTTTAATGGCGACGAAATGCATTTATGAAACATACGTATGTGCGTTACTATGGTGTCTAACAGAAAATAGTGAGAGAATTGAATGTGTTTGAAATGACTCGGACGAAGCGAATTGAAAATAGTGTTTTATGTTCATTGATTTTATTACGGTTGTTCTTATTTGATCACAAATTGTGTTTGGATATGTATGGGTTTTGTTTCTAGACAAAATTCTAAACGCATCTACGATAAACAATCCCGAAAGTTCTATTAATTTTTTTCGAATGGATGTTTTCATTCTAGCGATAACTGTCATCTAAAAACTTAATTCGGGAGATAAATCATTTATAGCAGACATTTGATTAAATCGAAGAATGAAAGCGCGCCACAAGTTATGTTTTTTTTTTTTTTAATTTGAAAAAAGAATGTGTCTCCTTGCCCGTTCTTACCTCTTTTATGTACAATTTTCGTTATGAACGGATCGATACTTGCGATTATCCAATTCATTTAAATAACACGAAGAAAGAGACTACAGAATCTATGTTGTTACGAGTGTAATAAATGAAATTTATCGGATAACAGAAATAAATATTCAATGATTACTATTTATGTTATAACCTTCAATACTTGATTAATATTTATCAAACAAAGCATTTTATCCACAAAAAATTATGCGTCGATTCATTTTATTTGTTAAAGAGTGCCATTTAAATTTCAAAATGTATTTTTTTTCTTTGTCTTGTAAAGATGATAACAATGTGTATTGGTGAATAAAAGTTCCTTAGTTTTAAGCATTTTGTTAGGTATGTTCATTTTATATTCGCGTTTATGTTTCGGCGTACAAATTGAAACAGAAAATAAACAATCGAATCATAAAGAGTTTAATTTATAATGAGAGAGAAAAGAAAACACCATTTTTGTTTGATAACAATCCGTTTGAATATGATGTAAGTAACTATATAAGAATAAGATGTACGAAAATTCATACACGTTTACGAAAGGCGAGGAGAAAAAGGTAAATGGATCTCTCAGTGCTAAAAAAAATCGAACGCACTTTCAGAACATTTATTATATTGGTTGCCTTTATGTTGCGGGAAATTGGATTATTTCACAGGAAAGTTGTTTACATCGTCACTGGAAATTCCACTTTAAACATGTACAAATTTTAATAATGTTGTGTTTTTTTTGTTCATATCTTCATGATTCACGATTTCACAAAAGTTTTTATATTCTGTATTTTTGTTTATGTTGTTATTAAATTTGATTTCACATTTACACAATAAATCTTATTACTTATTTATTTGTTTATTCATAATTTTGTTTTTATACTCTCTTGGCGAGAGTATGCAAATGATTAATTTACAATGATTAAAAGGTTGCCTTCTAGTGGTATGCTGAAATGATGTCGTCTTCTTTACTCTTTTTTTTAAAATCATTTTTAGTAGTTTTATACAAATTTAGGCCATTATAAATTCATTTGAAAAACAAATTAGTTTTTCTTTAATACAGACGAGCGCACATTAGAAACACGTTCGGTTTAATAAGTATTTAATTTAATGGAGGAGTCTAACGATTAAAACAGTTGTTTTTTTACGAATGTCCAATAAGCAAATTGACTGACTAATTAATTCTGATCTAATCAAATCGTGACCTTTTTTCACACAGAGAAAAAAACGGAATCAAGCGATGAAATGAACTAGTTTTTTTTGTTAACGTGCCAAATTAGACACAGTCGAATCAATATGTTTGTTGTGTATAGCATACGTTTCTATTTCATAGAAAATCGAAATAATTGGTCAGTCACTTTGTTTACCATGGATCGGTTGCCAAAATATGTTTGATCGAAATTAAAATAAAATGAAAAATGGGTATGCTCTGTTAAAAGAGACGCGCGCATAAAAACAAAGCCATCATTTAAAAATATTTACAAGCAACAATGAAACGTAGATTGAAATTGAATAAGAAGTTAAAGTTAAGAAGAAGTGGATAGGGCCAGAGTCCACATTATCATTAACGTTGATAGAAGAGTGCTCTTTTTTTGTTACTATATATACTACGGATCAGTATCGTCTTTTCGACATTTTCTCTACTGCATCTTTTCTCATTGAAAAAATATATATGTATATATAGTGTTTTATTTTATATCTTGTATACAATTTCATTTAAATTGTTCCACAATGAAATCAATTTCGTATTTCCTAACTCACACATTCATTTGCTTTTCTCTGCGTTCATCAATTGATGTTCCGAGACATTTTTGTTATATATTTTAAATTGGTTTCGTTTTGGTTTTCATTTGTTGCATTAAAGTTGCTGGTTTCATTTGATTACAATAAAAGGTGCAAATGTTATCATTCATCATTCATGATCTATAATATAGCAAATAGTTTTATCTGTGGCATAATCAATCTCTAGATTTGTTTCCCCTAAAAACATATTTTTCTTCGCTGTTTACTCTGTGCTAAAACAAATTTATATCATTTTTTCTCAGAAGGTATTCACGATCGAATGACCAAAAGTAAAAGAAAACTTAAAAAAAAAATCCTGATCAAAATCGAAAGAGCAAAATCACCAAATTCAAACACAATTCCAGTATAAATCAAATGAATTTGCTAATTTTGTTCTCATCATTCCGAATCAATATTTGTTCCACTTTTATTTTGGTCATTTGCTGGTGAATAGTCTTTTTTTATTCATTTCAATCTCATTTATTCCGCTAGAGTAAAATCATAGAGATCAAATAATAACGTTATTGTCATGTTCAAGATTTAAATAGATTCTTGTTTGTTTTTAGATTTTTTGGTTGTCTTATTTGAAATTGTCCCTTTTCTTAAGTGTTGTCATTCAATTTATTCATCTTTGTAACTTTCAACTATATCTCCTAAATAAATGTTTTTTTTTTGTTTGCATTTTAGATATCTCTATGCTTAAATTTCTTTTTTTTTTTCATTTCCATTAAACAACATAGCATTTTAACAAATTACATGCACTTAACCATTCTAAAAACGTTGCTTCACTTTGCATAATATTCATTTCATTTATTGACTGTTGATTGGTTTATGGTTGATTATATCATTGTGTATTTTGTGTGGCCCATCATTTCATAGCTCACATACTGTCTTTTCACTTTTTTTTAATTTTTTATTTCGTTTCTTTCTTCTTTTTTTTCGTTTTAAATGCAAAATACATACAAAAATATGTGACTGTTTATTATTGCAGTATTGAAAATATCAGAGACGGAAAGCGGTAGCATAAAAGATGAAGAGATAGAACATGCTGCATATTTTTTTTTTCTAAAAAGTTCAGAAACAGAAAGGATTTGTTGGTTGGTTGTGATCGCTTTTAGTGGGGTGGTGCTTGAACAATCCATATCATTTTATTGTTGATTGTTTTGAATAGTATATAGTCGCTTGTGTGTGAGTGTGTGTGAGTTTTATTGTGTGTCGATGAAAAAAAGCTCGTTTCATATATAGATTTGTATTGTATTATTTTAGGAAGAATTCTATATTGCTGAATATGTTATATGTGTCTGTGTGTGATCGAGATATTTTTTTTAAGTGCATCAACGTAAAACCATGATGACTGCTACTGTTTTTGTTTGTTGTAAATCAATCACTATTGAATGTTCGAAATGATGGATATTTTTTATGCAGATGCTAAACTAAAGTTTAAGTGATTCTAGTGATGTAATGGAAGAGCGTCTAGATAAACTCATAGATGACGTTATGACACTGACCATCGATGAACTTGCGAATAATCGATACCAGCCGATCACAATATTTGACAAATTTATATTATCTAACTCGATTAGGGCTGCGCCCATAAACACTTTTTTGTCCATTCGACTATAATCGCCCCATACAATCACCTTGTGGAGAAAATTAGAAAAAAACACACGAGTGAACGATTTTTTAAAATAACTTTTTTAGAGAAAAGATAAAAAATGGTTTAAAAATCGAAATAAATCAACTCACCTGGAGCAGACATCCGGCAAATGGTTCACGAAAAACTAATTGTTGTTGATATAATGGATCGAGCGTTCTACGAGCTGTCACAGTTTTCAATTTCTTTATTATCTTTTTGCCATTCAATAAATACACTTTTACACAAGGCGCTGGAACCACTTTTGATCCTGGCCGTAACTGAAACAGACAAATAATGTAAATAAATGAAAATAATCAATATCTATGCATAATAACAATGCTAGCGTGGAGTGTTTTATTCAATTTGGATCAAAATTGTTGACCGAAGTCGAAAGAATTTACGAAATCTCGTGGATAGTTAAACATTGTGTTCGCATCCATATTGGCGTTCCATGATGATCACCACATCCACTGGTATCGAAAGTAATATACAAATATAATTACCTGTAACCCTCTAGCACGAATAACTTCAACTTCTAGGTAGCCTTTCTGATGACACAATGATAACTGAATGTCGCCTAATGATGCTGCGCCCAACACTTGTCGACCTACCAATTGGCCAGGTCCAAGACCGTCGACAAAGTCTGAATATTGTCCACCATCTGCAACTCTCAGTGACGGTGACCATCTATGTTTCAACAGCAATTTATTACAGAAAGTGTAAAAAGAAATCAAAAATCGATTACTTTCAATTCCAACGACCAAATCAACATTTCCAACATTTACATATAAACATGATAGAAAAGAAACCATTAAAAGTAATATAAAGAAAATGAATCAAAAAACAAATATATAAATACCATCGCCATACAAATGAAATGCATCAATTGCAGCTATTTTTGGTATGCAAAATGTAATGACATTTGAGAGTAATCAAGTCAAATGGTGATCATACAAAATTCACAATTTTAAATTGCATGAAGTATTGGATGTGTCAAAATGTCAGCGATCGTATTTACAAATTTTAATGATTTATCAGAGAATTGATGCGTTCTATTATTTAATAATATTTATAGAAAAAAAAAACATAAAATGATGTCTTCACTGCTCTAATAGATGAGAAAATATATAATATATTGTTTTTGTTCGAATTTTTCAAAGCCCAAAGATTAAGTTATATTTGCAGAAAAAAAATCATATATTTGTGATTTGTAAAACATTGAGAATCTTCAAAAACAAAATCACAACAGTTTTGAGAATAGAGGAGGGATTGTCGTAAATCAGTTTTTTTTTGGTTCACTCGAAAGATCTAATTCTGTATTAGAGTTTTAACTATAACGAAAAAAATGTACAGGGAGATATAGAGTGTTGTTTGAAGGATTTCCCATAGCCTTCGATGTGTTTGTATATTATGAGAAAGTAAATCCAATCGTGCATATCGAAATGAACAAAATGGAATAAAAAAAGAAAAGGATGTCAGACCAAGTAAAAAAAAAAACAATCAAAAATATGAAAAACAACAAAAAATCATTCAACTTTGCTTGCATAAACTTGCTAGCCATGCAAAATACCATAAACAAACTACTCACATCATCACATTGGTTGTAGTTTATATAAAATTTAAAATAAAACGTGTGTGTTAATTCGAAAATAATATCAGAACTAGATAAAAATGCATCAAGTAGGGCAAACATCCTGCCTCCTCATCATTTGAGTAAATTATGATATGCAATTTCCTTTGTTGCTGGGTCTGGTGCTGATATTTTTAACGAATTCAACATCAATCATATACGTAGGTTGCTCCATAATTTTTTTTAAAATGGTACTTATAGTGTTGCCCGATGTAAACCATTGTCATATTCGTAAAGTTTGATGTTTTGGTATGTATTCGTGCCCTGAACCTTTTGTCGTACGAACGCTATTTGTATTGTTTACAGTGACTGGTAAACTGCGACTCAACAAAAAAATGAATTTTACACGTGAAGATTTTCGTAAAATGATTTACTACGATTTTCGAAGTAAATTATCTCAACAACAGTGTTTCGATCGACTTCATTTGGCCTTTGGCAATGAAGCACCAACCCTTCAGACAATTTATAACTGGTACCGAGAATTCCGTTGCGGTCGTAGTTCGCTCAAAGACGAGTTTCATACAGGTCGTCCAAAATCGGCTGTTGTGCCACAAAACATCGATGCTGTCAGAAAACTGATTATGGAAGATCGTCATGTGACCTTCCGTGAGATTGAGGCATCTCTGGGCATTTCATCCCACAGCATACATACAATTTTGCATGAACATTTAGCCGTAAAAAAGATTTGCTCTCGTTGGATCCCACATAAATTGACCGATGAACAAAAAATGGCTCGTGTGAGTTGGTGTAAAGAAATGCTCAAGAAATTCAATCGTGGTGCTTCAAAAGACGTTAATAAAATCGTCACTGGTGACGAATCGTGGATATATGCCTATGAGCCCGAAACGAAACAGCAGTCGACTGTATGGGTCTTCCAAAATGAAGATAACCCAACGAAAGTTGTTCGAGCAAGAAGCACTTCGAAGCGAATGGTCGCCTGTTTTTTCGGGAGAAGTGGTCATGTGGCAACCGTTCCACTAGAGGATCGTAAGACCGTCAATTCTGATTGGTATACCACCATTTGTTTGCCCGAAGTGTTTGGTGAAATAAGAAAAAACAACCACCGTCGCAAAATAATTCTTCATCACGATAATGCGAGCTCTCACACATCTTTTCAAACTACTCGATTTTTGACCGGTCAAAACATCGAACTGATGGGTCATCCACCGTACAGTCCTGACCTGGCACCCAATGACTTTTTTTTGTTCCCAAGCGTGAAGAAAAAACTACGTGGTCAACGATTTTCGACACCAGAAGAAGCAGTTGAAGCGTTCAAAACACACGTTTTGGAGATATCAGTTTCGGAGTGGCACGAATGCTATGACAAATGGTTTCATCGAATGCAAAAGTGTATCGATCATCTCGGGGAATATTTTGAAAAACAATAAAACCATTTTCGACAAAAAACAACTGTGTTATATATGTTTTTAAAAAAAATTATGGAGCAACCCTCGTATATTACAATTGTGTTAAACCGGAATGACATCCATCAAATAACCACGAACGCAAAGAGAGATGCAAAGCCATAACAATTTAAATACACACATCTATCAAAAAGCCTCAAAACATTTATTTATATATAGTCTTTTGGTTTGAAACCAATGTAGGAGAATTCGGTCATGGAACGCTCTTAACAGTAACAGTCGAAACGAATGAACAATATATACACACCAGAAACAGTTAAAGAGAGAAAATCATTCGTGAAATCAATTAAATTTCATTTAAAATGAGAGATCGCTGTAGTTTCGATCAGTTTTTGATTGAAAGTGTATTGTGTTTTACGTATTGTCAGTTTTCTGTCAAAATTTGTTTATCTTTTTTTTTTGAGTGACTGTTTCTGTTTTAATTTGTGCATATTGTGCTCGTTTGTGCACGATAATAGTTCGATGACTGTTTGCGGTTTTGTGTCATTTTTTTTCTGTAATTGTCGGTCAGCGTGTCTGTCATTTGTCTGTTGTTGTTGGTTTTTTTTTTTTTCGTCGAAATGTTTTTTTGTTTGTCATTGGGGTTTGGATGAATGATGCGAAACTTACGATGGATAATCTGAAGTGGTGGATATGGAATGAAGACTTCCTGCCCGATTGGCCGACGATGATGGTGTTACTTCAACCGATCTTTGAATGCTACCGGAAGAAGATCGCTTTCTTTGTGACGACGAAGACATTGCTGATGCCTGGTCTGTTATACAACACATAACACACATACATACATAATTTTTTGGTTTTGTTTTTGTTATCAATAAAGTTTTTGTTTTTTGTTTTTGCATTAAATTTCTATTTGGATACATTCGCTCACTCGATTTAGATATCATTATTAAGTGTGTGTTTTTATGGAGGGTGTGAAGGGATAGAGAAATAGAAACGAAAAGAAATGGCAGAGAGTGAAGAATATTGTGTGTGTGCATAGAAGTCAGAAATTGAAAGTCGGAAATTTGAATTCATTCTATGAAAATTCATTCATAATATGTATATTATATAGAAAGATATATGTATATTCTAGGAGTTTTCTTCGCTAAACGCTATATAGAAGGAAACATCACAATGGAATTCGTTGTTGTTTTGGTCGGAAGTTTATTGGATATACAACCGTATCATTGGTTATATGTCGAACAATTTGAACACTAATTCTATGAATAAAGGTGGCCAGTGTGGCATAGTGGAGAAGAACTGCTAAATTTAGTATAATAAAAACTAATGTGGATTCTAGTGACTAGAGAACTAATTACAACTTGTTACTCAGAGATTTGTTTTAATTTTAATTACTCTATGGACTACTTGCTGGGTTGCAGATTTGCTCTAATTGTTTTTTTTGCTGTTATTGTTGTTTTTAAATCGGTTGTTAGAAATGTGAAAACATAGGTCAACCAAATGATAACCATAAAATGCAAATACTATTGGAACAGAAGCAAAAATGTTGTACGGCATTTGTTGTGTAGATTAAAGCGTCAAATATTGGTGATAACGGCAAACGAGTTTGTGTGTGTGTGGTTTATGTTCGTTTTTTTCTTCTTTTAAATTCTTGGTTCTGGTACATAAGCGAGCTGACAGGGTTCTAATCTTTTCTTCGCTCTTTTTGTTCCATACCTATTTTTTTTATATATATACAACAATTGGTTTCGTGCATCAACAACACTAGCACGGTCACTGATATAAAAACGCAACTTAAAAATTACTTGTGTTAGTTCAAATGGTGCAATCTCTTTTTGACTTCACAAGCATTGTGTGAATTATAACGAAGACCGGGTTTGCATTTAAATGTAATTTTATCACCAATCTACGTGAAATTGCTTCGAATAAAATTGAGGATCATGGACATTTTGTGAATGCATCCGAGTAAAAAATCTATTTGACGGATTTTTCACCAAAAATGAATACATTTGCAAAATATTCATGAATCTACCATTTGACATATTATTCGAGAGACAACATCACGTTCATGTAATTCCAATACTATTTCAAATCGAAACATAAAAGAAAATAATAAAACTAATAATCGAAATTAACTCAATTACAATGTATACGCTTAATAACCAATCATTTTGTTTTTCATACGAGACAACGTAAATACAACTAAATACTAAACATTTTCTTCAAATTCAATTTCGAACAATCAATCACAAAATAAAAACAGAATTTGATCTAAGAATAAATTGCTTAGTTTTTGTTTTTTTATTTCATTTTGGTTTGCTGAGTTAGTTCGTAAATTCGTTAAAGGTTCGTTTCATTTCATTGTTGGACACAGATTCATTTCGCCTTATCACAACCTTTTAATGCTATCAAAAATTTAGTAGCACAAGATAAAAAAAGCTTTTATGTACAGCATATATTTTTATTTGGCTTTAAATCTATAGTTTGATATGATAGAATTTTGCCCATTTTTTTCTAATATAGCTTCTTAATTTTTTTTTGAAAACAAGCAACTCAATCAAAAAGAAATAACATTAGTTTCGTGCAAATGGATCTACCTCCCAACCTCCCCGATTGGAGTAGACTCTACCAAAGTAAAGCAAACAATTTTACTATCGTTGCCAATGAGTGTTTGTGTGTGTTTGTGTATAAATTGGAATGTCTCTTGAAGTGGATGTGGGTTTCAAAAATATTGGCGGTTTTGTTAAAAAAAAAAAAAACTATTGAGAATAGCCAGAAAACTTGGATAGACGATAGAACAGGATATCAATCAGTGAAATGAACACCACTTAAATGAGATTTACTCAGGTAAATTTACCTGCTTTTTTCACCATCAATCAATTTTTTAATCGTAAGATTCGGCTAATTTCACCATATCGGAATATTTTTTCGATACATTTTCAAAAACTAGAATCTGAATTGAAATTTGATGAAAAAAAAACAAAAATGAATTTCGTAGTGTAAATCTCATTTAATTGCTGCTTAATTAATTAATTCGTATCCGCGACATCATAGTATAGTGAAGTTTCAAAATCTTGGTTTTAGCCAGGGATTGTTCCTCTGAGGAGGAGGAATGGTGAGGAGGAAAATGAGGAGGAGGAGGAGATTGAGGAGGATCCTCCTCCTCAAGTGAGGAGGAAAATGTTTTTAGCTAAAAATTATATTTTTGGGATAAAAATAGCCCTTTGAGCAAAAAACTCACTTTTTTCACACTCCTCGCTCTCCGTCTCCTCCTCAGAGGAACAATCCCTGGTTTTAACTAATGCCGATGCTCAAAATGAAAAAAATTTCATGTTTTTTTTCTACACCCTAGTGTAAACAATATATTGTAATGAAACGTGATATATCGACCCCACGAAAAACCACGAAATAAGAACTAGCGAAACCAAACATAAACATATTTATTTAAAAAAAAAGTCAAGAGAAATGAAAAATGTGTTGGTTGCCAACAATAGAACCATTAATTCATGTGCCTCTAGTTTTACGTAATAAATTGATGCATTCACGACTTATTTTGTTTGTTTGATTTTTTTGTGTGTTGTTTTTCTATGTCTCCCTGTTATCAAAGTATACATTAATTATGGTTGAGCGATTGCTATTGATTTGGTAGACTCTTAACAAGCGTTGTTACTGTTTTTTTCTTGAATTTTGGACAAATTCACCCAATTTTTAGTCTGGTTTGAACTAATAGACTGATTTTTTTTAAATTTATTCATTTGAACTTCTAATTTAACATCGTCGTTCGGATGATGATATGTGATAAAAAAATAAAAATGATAGTGATTTAAAATATAACAAAAAAAAATTGAAAAAAAAAATCGAAAAAAGAAAACTAAATCGACAAAATACAACTAAAGTGGAGAATTTGTTATGAAAACTCGAACCTGTCCACATCAATGCTACCCTCGCCATCACTAGAGGCCGATGAACCACGTGATAATAAACCAGCACGCATTTCACCCGGCAGAACTTCTTCGCTTCGATGTACCGTAAACGAATTCTTACCCTTTTTGCCGAAACCAATGCGTCGCTTTCGACCTTTTTTTACATCAGATTCATTTTGTTATTGTTTTTTTTTTTACAATTATATATATTGTTTTGGCTATATGAGTTTTTTAATAATTCTATGTAATATTTGATTGTTTTGTTTTATGAACAAAAAGAAGTATGAGAGTGTCTACAAATTTGTTATTTGAGTATATAGTTGAATTTGAATTTGTCACTACATGGTTTTTCAAAAACAAAAAGATTTGAAAGAAGAATTTTGTTCTACAACCGATTTATGTAGCATAGTGATATGAAGAAGAATTAAGTTTATATCTCTAATGTACATGTATATGAATCTAATCGAATGAATCCGTTCTGTTTTGAAAATACCAATTTCTATAGTTTGAAGAGTTTATATATATATTAGAATGTAAAAAAAGTGATTGAAATCCGAGAATAGAGAGAAGAAGTCTATCAGAAGTAAAATTAGATTGGAGAGTAGATTGTAGTAAGGACATTTAAAAGAAAACACTTCAAAGACTTTTCAGAAAGAAATTTTGAACTTGAGTAAGTTTTTGTTGTGTTCGTGTAATTGGGTGTGTGTGTGTGTTCGTGTGCGTTTGTGTGTATGTGTATCCAATCATTGTTCAAAACCGATTTGCAAATTCCAAAGAAAACGGAAAACGTGAAAACACTCTGTGGCATACCATGTTTTTTTCATTTTCATTTGATCGGCAAATCGTTTTGACAAACATAAAAGAAATCAAGGCAAATATCAGAAGCGAAGAATGAGGATGAATTAGCTTACCAGTCGCTGATAATTGGGATGTGGAATTACTTTTTTTACCCATACCCGTGCCAAAGCGATCCCGATCCCTGGTCGGCGTTTCACATTTTGGTGATCTTTGATTCGGATTCCTCCGTGATCGATCGAAACCTGGCATACCAACGGCTGTATCACTTAAACTTCCATCTGAAATGTGATAGAGAAAAAAGAGCATAACATTGATTTTGATTTTTTTTAGTGAACTATTGTAATTAGCCTACCAATTTTCTCATCGGGTGTACCCTCTGCAGTCGATAGGCTACGATTGAATGAGTCTTGTTCACGTGGATCACGATCGCTTAAACTTCGGCTTGGTTCTCGTTCGTTTCGATCTCGATACGATTCGCGATTATTACTCGATAAGCTCTGATGTCCACGATTGTTTGTACCTGCTGAAATGCTGCCACGATCACGTACATCGTATTCACTACTGTTAGACGGCACATCATTTACAATGGTGGACGATGGTTTTTTCAACAGACCACGTTTTGGTGACATTTGCAGGGATGCAATACCATTTGGATTATTTTTTTGGGAAGAATATAAAGCACGATTAGCAATACTTGGGTAGCTACGATGAGCTTTTTCACCGTGCCCAAATGACTTTCGATTATATTCAAAATATTCGGGCGTTTCATTTATGCTAACTGAACTACGACCGCGCTCAAGACCTTTTTCCAATAATTTTTTCGCTTGAAACAGAGATAAATCTTCAAGACTGCTGCTGCGCCGTTGCTGTGTACGTTGCGGTACTTTTTCAAACGACGGCGCTTCGAACACTTCATCCGAACCACTTTCAACAGAAGGATTTTCTACTTCGAAATCATCGTCATCTTTAGCCGGAAACGAATCAACACGTTTCAGGGTAGTTTGTGACTTTTGATTTTGTTTATCATCACCATCAATTTTCTTTTCTCTTTTACGGCGCTCAGAATTACGATGACTCAATTTTCGAAAACGTCGAATGCGAGTTTTTTGCTCAGTATTTGCTTTGTCCTTCGCACTACTCGCATCACTTTTGGACGCATCAAATTCGGAATATTGTTTATATTTTGGTACCTCCTCTTGTACACCAATTGTGTTTTCGAGTGGCGAAATGGGCGACAATTTGCGAATTATGTCGGGTGATTTTGTAATATTTAAATTGGTCTGTAGCATACTACGCACAGGCATTATGTTGGACGGTGGAATTGGTGTTCTGACAGGCGTTCTAGCAGGTGTTCGAATTGACGCTTGTGAAGGAGATTTCAATGGTGTCTTTATAGACATTTGCGCATCTGGAGGTTTTAAGGTATTCGAATCTTTCATTTCACAAACAAGTTTTGCGTCTTTCAATCCTCTTATATTTTGAATATTCGTTAATTTTTTTGCTTCGTAAGCTTTTCTCCTTGAACCGGTCATCCGTTCAACGCCTGTATCGCTTGTATCAAGTACGCCACTGTCTGTATTACTATCGATGATTTTTTTCAAATCATCTTCATTGAACGATTTTACAATGTTCAAAGAGAGAAAATTACGATTCACTTGAATCGGTGACAATTTCTGTAGTTTGGTTTCAATTGTTTGCACGGATTTATGCGATGATTCAACGCCATCCGAGTGATAACCTGAATGCGATTGATTTTCAAACGAATTGAATGATCGCGATTTCATGAATGCTTTACGAATTGATTTTCGATTATACAATGATTGGATTTGTGGCAATAAAAGTGAATGGGTCGATTGACGGAATGTTTGTTCATCGAATGAACGTTGATTTGGAATGGACAATGCGCTTCGGCTATGCACCGGTATACTTGATTTTATTATTTTCAACGAGGTCGGAATTTTTTTGCGAGCTTTAATTGCATCAATTTTTTCTCTTGCATTACCGTGTGACATTTTAACCGGAATTTTCCAGCCAATTTCATTAACATTTACCACATTCAATTCATCGCCCACTCTTTTTTGCACATCCAATGATGATCGTCGTTTAAATTTTGATGGTGGCGGTGGTGGATATGGCAATTTATCGATTAAATTGGTGCTATGATTAAGGCGTATTTGCTTATTATGGGTTTGAAGTGAATTTTCAGGAATAAAGCTCGCACTAAGCATCGGCGATTGGTCATCGTATTCATATTCAGTGGTCAAATTATTTAAGCTAACAGCTTGCACCGTGCCCAATGGCATTGGCAATGGCAATTGTAAATTGATTTTATCAGCAGCATTGATAAAGGGCAAATATGGATATGATTGATTGGATTGCGACGATTTTAAATACATGGAAAATGAGGGATTTTGAGCAAGCCAGTCGGTAGGTAGACTAGTACATTGGTTTTGTCTAAAAGTCAAAAGGTTTTTTTTTGGCAAAAACAAATACATTTCACGCACAAACACAAATAAAAAAAACCAAAAGAACGTTTGAAAAAAAAAAACAAATCAGAATATTATTTCAAAAATAAAATATTGAACAAAAATGATTAAAACGTCAATTGTTCAAAACCGAAAATAGAGAAAAATATGTTAAAAGTGAATGTAACGCCTGTGGTCATACCTCAATCCCCTTGATCCACGCGGCCGTTCTGATTGTGTTGAAAATGCACTTGAGGTAACGCTAACTACAGATTCCATGTCAGAGTCGCCGAAATCGCCCATAAAATCTTTATCCGGCGACAATGAATTTTTTGGTCGAAGACGTGGCTCCAGCGAATGCATTGTTAAATCACTATCTGATAAACCGGTATAGCATCGCTCCCATCCGCCCATACCGGTGCTTCGATACGTTTGTTGATGATGTGAATGATGATGTGGTTGTCGGGTGCGATATCGACTAAATCGTCCAATGCCACGCTCTTCAAAGTCTTGCATTAGCCGATCCCTGAAAGTTAAACAAAAGAACAAAGCCATTCATTAACATCAATTCATTCATTAACACCGTGGCCTAAATTGCATTTACTTACCGATCTCGCAATACCATTCGATTCGTACTGCTTCCTGCGCTCATACTATTTTGCGGCACTTGTGGAAGTTGACGTTTTTTCGGTGAACCCGTTGGTGTAGCGGTCGCTGATCGCGATTGTGAACGTTGCTGAACACGATTATGTACTGTTAAACCTGAATAGTCTTGATATAAATCTTCGGGCGGCGATAATGAACCGCGACGAATGATATTAGCCGAACGATAATTGTCGCTCGGTGCCGCTGAATGACTTCGTTGATTCATTGCCATGACACCATTTCGACGTGCTAACGATGTCTGAAAACGGACAACAAAAAAATTTCATTCATTTTTAATGCAAACGAATTTCTTTGAATCGAATATCATTTTAAAAAAAATAAGTTCGTTCCCAAAACAAAAATAAAAGGAAGGGAATTCAATCGGGGTAATATGAGATTGGGTTTATTTTTCTTCTGTTCAAGAGGTTTTATGAAAAGTGGCATGTTTTGAAAAAAAGATAAATAGAAAGTGCACTAGAAAAGTGTGTACGTGTAAAGCCTCTGCAAAGTGTTCATTGAGTGAACAACTCACCACAATAGTTTGATTGTTATTATGGTAACTTTGTCCAATTCCTGATACAGTGCGATAATCACGTGCTACCATTGCTGTTGCCCGTTTCTTTCCTTGTGGCGACATATCACGTCTTGATCGACGCTCATTTAAATCCGTCTGTGTAAGCGTATAATCAACAAAACGTACGAAAAAAAAAATGTACACAAAATAAGAAACTATTAGTCTCTTTTCGGTGAATTGCAACTATTGTTATGGTTATTTGAGTTTGTATATATGCCAAAAGGAGAGAACGTAATGTGTAAAATAAATGTAATGTAAATATCGTATAGTATTTAGTCGGTTAAACGTATTATAATTATAACGAAACATACTCTAAAAGCATACCACTACTTATGTTTAAATATGGGACAAGAACATATATCAAATCATCTATGCTATAACTTTTGTTGCAACTTTTGAAATTTCTTCGAGTATATATATATGTATGTATGGTAGAAAATTGAAGAGAGCTTGTGTTTTTTTTTTCTTTGAACAACTTATAAGTAAGATTATATATATGATATGTATATTATGCAAAAAGCGTTTGTATGTCTCTTTGGTTGCATTCTAAATAATAGTGATATCATTTGTATTTGAAATGTATCATAAATTGTGTCAACTGAAAAGATTTCTCGATGTTTTAGCGTCTGAGAAGAAGAAACAAACGAAATGCATTTTTAAAAGAATAAAAAAAATGATTGAAAACGAACTGGCAAACGGTTAAACTACTGAGCGATAGAGCGCACCTAAAGTAGCTGTTCATATCATATCCCATCAAATACCATTGAAGTAAATATAAACAGAACAACAACAAAAAACAACGTCCATGGAGATGAATGAGCTTTTCTCTCGGGAATGTAGAGACGAACAGAAGCAGAGTCAAAAATAAAATAAATACTTTTAATAAACTTGTGTCTCCCATTCTCTCTTCTAGAAATAAACTATTTTTTATTATTGTTTTTTATTTTATGAAACGAATGGAAAAAAGTATGCCTTCTCATCTGAACTATATAGATATTTCTCGTTGTTAAATTGGTCAATTTGAAGAAATGCAAAGCTATTGACATGACAATTTTCTTTGAAATCAGAAAAAATACGAAGAAAATCGAAATTAAAGGATAAAATGATGGATAAATCTGAACGAACGAATGAAAATAATATGAACAAATGTGCTTGATAATTTTGATGAAGAGTGTACTTGCGGTTCCGTTTCTGTGTGTGTGTGTGTTTGTGTGGCAAGGAAGAGTTGTTGGCTGGTGTGTATGTATGTATGTGTAAGTGTTTTTCTGTGTACCTGTATAGTTGTTTTTATTGTTATTTCAATTCACATTTGTGTATGTGTGCGTATTTGAATTTGTTGGTGCAAGTCAATTTCAGCAAATTATTTCTTATATGTAGATTGTAAGTTCTATGAAAATTCTGTATGCCGCTCGCTTAACTCTATTTAAAACTTATCATCTAGGGCAAAGCATCTTTTTAAACTATCATTTCATTTCTTATTATGTTAATACCCTGTATCATTTCTCTCGCTCTATAAAATAGTTTCAGTAATTAGTTTAAAAGCTGTTAGATTTACATTTAAACTCATCTAATAAAATGAAATGATTTCTCTTATTCTCTCACACTGTACTTTCATCATTATTTCAACCTATCCAACAGATATGTGTATTCGTTTCATTGTAAAATTATTGATCAACTTTCTTATTATCTCGATTAATTACTCTGAACATTCGCAGAGTGTATTACTAAAGGAATAAAAAGAGGGTTCAATAGAGTTGGTTCCATTTGTTTTGTTTGTTTTTTTTTTTTCATTCAGAAATTCGGAAGTAAAAGTGATTTGATTTTGTATTTATTTGTGTTGAATGTGATTTATTTTTTTACCTCTGCCGGAGGACTTGACGAACTGCCTAGTGATGATATGCTGGCACCATCACGACCAGTTGCAATACCATCAATATCACATTCAGACGTTGTATCTGAGTCGCTTAAACGTGACGTTGTACTTGGCGGCGATAAATGATCGGTCGGCGTTAAAATCATGTCCATTTCATTTGTATCATCTCTACGCAACTAGAATTAATACACACATAATGTCAATTTTAAATCTAATTTTTGATTTTGGTTTCATTCCTGGATTTTTTTTTTTTTGCATGTATCTTTAAGGAAACTCATTAGATAAAAAAAACTTTCAAAATAAAAGCGGTTGTTTGATAAGCTAGCCGTTTTTATTCGCTTTTTATGTTGCATTTAATGATTTTCACGTCAATTTCACTGATACCAAAACTCAAAATCAAAATCAACAAAAACATAATAATACATATATAGCTCAACGATATGGCCTTTATAGCGAATTTACAATGACATTGTGTTACGATCATTGCATGGAATTTCGGATCATTTATTTTTGGTTGTCAATATTGTTGCTGGCGCAGATTTTTTTTTATCGGAAGCAACATTTTCATCCGTATTCATATCTTCTTTTTTTGCATATAAAATGTTGGGCTTTAAATCATCATGTGATGTCAATTTGTGTGACAGTGTATTTTGAATGCAGGTCAATTCTCACGAGAGAATTGCTGTGAATTGGTGTATTTTTTTGGAACTGAATGAAATTTATGACAGTGCTTTTAATTGTAGATGACGGAGTGATGTTGTTTGTTCGTTATTTTATATTATATCACAAAATCGGTTGATAAAATATATTATTCTGAGTGGAATAAAAAGAAGAATTCGCCAACAGAAAAAAAAACAATGAGATTGTATAGTGAAAAATATGTCGGATTTAAAAGGAACAAAAATACGAAGAAAAAAAACCTCCAAAGCTGGTCTCTCTTGTTGGATTTTATCAGCATGCAGGAACAAATGTAACGCAAAAAAACGCAATCAATTTTTTCAGACTCAAATCGAAATTGATTTTTTTCTTTATCTAAGAGTTATTTTCAGACAAAATGTTTTCGGTGCACCTCAATGTTGACACAGTAATTTTACTGTAAAACGTAAATATATCTCGATGAAAAACAAAAACAAAAAACACATGCTTTTTGATCAAAAAGCGATAGGAGATTGTGAATAACGTACTTTTCATAGCGTTTGAAATGTGAATATATTTTATTTTTTGAATAAAACAACAAAAGATCAATTAACATTCATGTTTCATATTCGAGTATGTGAGATATGTTAAAACGGCGAATAAAAGGATGAAGAGAAATTAAAATGTGAGGTAACATTTTATTTTGCAAATGGAATATTTTCTCAGTGATATAACCTCATTTCAAAACATTTCAAAATAGTTGTTCCATGTGAAATAGAATATTATTTCGTGATAATTGTGTGAGAAATATGAATTTTAAATAAAAAATGAAAATTGGTAGGATGAATATGAGGAAAATGTTGAGGTGAAGTTTTATTCTATTTACAAGAACGATAGAGATAGGGAGAGCGAGAGAGAGAAAAGTTTCATTTCAAAAATTGAAATGTTGCAGTGAAAATATTTTTGGGTTGAAAACAAATGAATCCAACTAAATATATGTGAGATAAAAGTTCATAGTTAAAAGAGCAAACAACTGACAATGGCAAAAAAAAAATCAAAAATGGAACGAAGAAACAAAAAAAAAATATATTTTTTGAGAGAAAGAGAGTACACAACGAATGGAATGAAGAGGAAAAAACCGAAAAAAAAACTAAATTTGTAAATTTCTCGGTAACGGTAACGTTGAATTATATTAACATTATTTGCTCTGAATGTGGTTACAAAATGGTTTTATACATACTGTGTGTATATTTGATTCTTGATGCACATGTAATGTGTACCATTCAGCTTCATCGTCCAATGGATGGCTTCTCAAGTCTAGTAAAACTTCGCCCAAAAAATCGTTTGCACCATATCTCACGTAATCCCAAACAGTTATCTAAAGCAATTGCCGTTTTGTAAGAGAAACAAATAAAATGAATGAATATTTGTGTTTGAATTTTTAATTCGGTGAATGGCATCGAATCAAATGGGTCATGCCGCATCATGTTCAATTGAAAATTGGACTCACTTCTAAATATCTATTGTTTAAATCGGCTCGTCGTAGTCCTGAGTAAACAAACGTTTCTCCCCAGCGCGGGTCATTCGTATTTGTCAAAGGTTTTGAGCGCCGTTTCGATTTATCACAACGATCCGGAAGTAAAAAAATCTGCAATATACACGTGCATAGAGTAAACAAAATTCAATTGTTAAATCCATTGAATAGAGAGAGTGCTTTGCACATATTATTTGCATTTTAGTTTTGTTTGATTTACCTTTACGTATGGATTTCTGGTGGCACCATTTGCGCGATAGGTTAGATTTGCCGCACAAATGACCGTTAAAATCAATTGTAATGTGCCCGATTCAAAGCCTAATTTGATTTGTATGCGACCGCCTACATTTGAATTGTCTATTACTGGGCCACCAATTGGGCCTACATTTGAATCGCCAACAATTGGGCCCGTTGAACTTATACGATTTGAATAACGTGAACCTGATCCCGATGCTCCGCTTGCAATTCGATCCGGTGAACTTGGCGATGTAACTAAAACACTTGGTCTATCCCGTCGATCATAAGCTTCTGCAAATCCCGTTCAATTCGATATAATTGCGAGCAAATAAATCGATTTGATAATATACACGCACATAAATACGCGATGAAGAGATGAAAAAAAAAATATACACAAAAAACATCGAACATTATTATTTACAATTATTTATAAGTGTTTTCAATTTGGAGTATAACTACAACTCAATGTATTGGTATTGATTCGAATGCTCTTAATTTATCATATAAATGAACTACCCATTGAAACCAGTTAAATTTCAATAAGAAGGATTATAAAAATAAATACAAAAATTAAAAACCCATTGAATATGTTCTTTTCATTTAAAAACGGTGAAATATCGCTGCGATTTCAACACACGGTATTTTCAACAACACGTGGGAAATATGGATTATAAAACATGTGAAATGAAAGACACCGAGTCGAAAGGCACGAACGACAGAGCGAGCGATAGAGAACAAATAAAAAGAAATATTCGAATGAATGAATTGGTTTTGTTTTGTGAGCGAAAAAACACATGAAAATACATGAGACGAGAAAGATAAATGAACGAACGGTTGCATTTTATGATACAACTGGATGTTCTATTGCTTGCTTGGTTTACTTGGATAATAATGTTATATATCCACGATAGATGGATGCATAGAGATGGATGGTTGGCAATTGCATTTGCCAGTTGTGTGTTGTGTTTTTGTTATAGTTTGTAGTTCGTGTGTGAGTGATTTTCAGTGGAATAGTATACATATCATGTTTCTCTATATATTGAAACATATTGCATTCTATTCCCTGATTGTGTATTTTCTTCTTTTTTTGGGTTCTGTAAGTTTTGTGTTTTTTTTTTTTTTTTTTTGCTTTTTTTTCTGCATGAAAACATATACTGTTTCCTATGTATTATGGCTGGTTTATTGTCTCATTTCGAAACTCAACTATGAAAATTGTTCTAAACAACAGTGTTGGCGACGACAACGACGGTGACGACAACTCAACGAGATAGATTGCACAAAAATAGAACCAAACTCGAACACATCAATACTTAGATTGTTGTTGCTCCTTATTTATTTTGTGATGTGTGCGATATTCGAGTATAAACTAAGTTGTTGCTCCCATTTAACACAATTGATTCGGTATCTACTTCTCTTCTTCCTATCTTTTTTTTTGTTAATTACATTCATGTCGTTTAAAGTTAATTAAAAAACTTGTTTAAAAACTTCAACAGGCGCTTGTGTGCAATGAGTGAGAGATGGGGTGTCAATCACAATTTTGTGCGTGTAAAGACTTTTATAACACACAAAAACAAAACGTATCACTTGCTTTTCAAAGATAATAAAAATCAACAACAACAACAACAACAAAAAAGAGTACAGGACAAACTACAATGGCAACTGTACAATAGAACACGCACACATATTGGCATCACAACGAAATGGATAATCAGACGTGAGATAGAGACAAAAAGATAGAGATACAAGATAAATAAAAATCAAAATATAGACAAAAGGGAACAAAGCGATCCACTTCTTGTTTTCTCGTATGGCAAATAACACACACACGCAGCAAAGACACAAAATTACTGGCATCTAGAATAAACAATCCAAAAATAAAACAGAAACAAAAAAAACGGAAAACGAAGAAGAACGAAAGAGTGCGCATTGTTTCCGTTTTAGTGTACCTGCATGTAATCGGATTGGCGAGTGTGATTGTCTCCAAGAAACCTGAGCCGCACGTCGACTTGCCGCTATCACACGCGACACTATCAATTCCACTTGTAGATCATGTTTGCTATTCGCTATTATATCTTGCACTTCATGATCGCTTCGATCACCAAACGATTGGCCATTCCATTCGACTATTTCGTCGCCTAAAAATATTTCCATAATTAAATGTGCAAATATTATAAAACCATAATTGTTCCAATGGATAGGCAATGCCTACTTGCTTAAGCCTCCCCAATGGGACAATCCTCAATTATAAAGAAATTAACCCACCTGGCTTTAAATGTCCCACTTGATCGGCAATCGAACCAGGTTTAATCTTCTCAATGATAGCGCCCAAGCGACCATTCGATAATAGTTGGCCGCCAAACACTAATAAACCTAATGTATCCTCTGAATTAAAATTCCTTCTCAAAATCAGATGGCCACTCATACGCGTTCCATCCGTTGACACTTGCCAATGTACTGGATTTTGCTGTTTGTTTGTTTTTTGTGTGTCATTTTTTAGTTACACAAGATTGATTCGTTAATTTCATATTTTAATTTGACATTTAGCTCATTTAAAAAAAAAAAAAAGTTTCTTATATGCCTATTTCTCACGCTATGCCCTAACACAACAACCCTGCGCTCTTACTATCTAAACTAACAAAATTACATCGTCTACATAAACTTTATCGCTTATTTCCCTGTCAGGCAAATTATAAATAAAAAACTTTATCACGACTTGATATACATACATATACAGATTGCAAGAGTGCTGATCTCTTCTTACATCTGTTTTCCAATCGATTTGGTAATTCTTTGTTTTTCTTCGAATATAAAAACCAACAACAAATGTTAAAAGAAGTATGAAACTTTGATCAAAAGCATGCAACATTCAGGCATACTTTTATATATGTCTACCGTGTATTGAATTTCAGGCTGAAAAGAAAACAAAACTTTTGACAACTTGCAATCCACACAGCTTTCCGAAAATAAACGTCATTTACTGCACCACACCAAAGCAGAATTTCGCAGAATTATCCTCTCGAATATTGGAGATTTAATTTCTCAAATTATTTTTATCGACTGAAGAGAATTTTTTCTGGCTCATTTTTTGTTTGTCAATTTTCATTTCATCGCAATAAATAGAGAGAAGGTGACCGCTGTGCTAAAATTTTCCATGAACTGTTATGATTCTATTTTTTTTCTGTTCCAAGCTCTTACTTTTCACTCGTTGTTGTTGTTGTTGTTTTTTTTTGTTTATTGTCAAATGTCATTAGCAGCAGCAGCAGTAGCAGCAACATATGAAACTGTATAAGTGTATTTTCCATTATATACATGCAATGGCTAAATGTCAGAATACTAACGCCACTTTACAATTTGCCGAACGAAATTGATGAAAATAATTGGTATTCTTTCTTCACTTGTCTGACATCGAGCATAAATGGTAGAGTACAAATGCAAATTTTTACAAACTATAATCCGATCACTATTGGATGGGTATGATTATGGCATAGCAAAATGACAACGTTAAATATAAATGGCAAAATAGAATGAGAGTTTGTGACAGGCATAACTATAGTCTGGCTGAGACACAGCATGCAAATTAAACAAGCAAACAAACAGCATGTGCTCGAGTAATTAAACTGGATCATACAGGCGCATCATATATATTAGGACGATGCGAAATAGAAGCGTATATCATTGTTGGCAGCAAACATAAGTATGGTAGTTGTAACGTTGATTACGTATTACGTAAATTAAATCGAAACTTAGGCATTAAATATTCAGGTGAAGCGTATTGTTATGAGATAACAAAAGAATATCTTTTTGATATGTTTTTATGTTTTGCAAAACGAAAATTGTGGACGAAATTTTGTTGGTTTCAGCATTTGGATTAAGAAACAACAGTTGAAAACAACAAAAATAATGAAGAGCCAATAATTAGAAACTAACATTTGTATTAAGAAAACTGAATCGATCGATAGCGAACCAATTATTTGATCTTATTTAAAAGCTACTCTAAATAATTATCTACTAGAAAAAACTTTTAGTTACTTAAAAAAAAAACTCAACTATAATTTGAAAATTCGTAATATTGATGACTCATGATAAAAGAGCGGGGCGAAAAACAAAACAAAAAGAAAATGTAAACATACTTGCTGTTGCCTATTTTCTGATCTACTTTGTTAGCTGACGTTCAAAGTTTTTTTTTTTCGGAACAAACTTAGAAAAACTAAACGGTACAAAACACATGTTTGTGTTCTTTTTCAAAATACATGTAAAATAAAAGCGATAAAATACGCAGAAAAAGACGATATGATATGAATACCTTTAGGCCTTCGCCTCGATTCGAATCTTCACTGCTTGTGAATGTGCTGCCTGAATCGATGCCCGAATCTCGTGTCGCTGAATCTTGGCTATTTTGCCGTTCCGAATCCCATCGTGTCCAATCGTTTGAGTCTTGACCATCAAATCGAACGGTTTTTTTTCGACGTTCCGTATATCGTCGACTATCAATGCTGTACGCATTTGGTTCATCTAGACTAGTGCCCGCACTAAGACTACCACCATGACCACCAATGCGGCCAGTTAGTATTGTATTCACATTATTTCCACCCACTAGGGTTGCCGTTGAATCAGACAGCCCACGGCTGTCATTATTCCAATATGGATCATTTGATTGATGTGGGAAATCCACGTCGTCGCCAACCACAATTTGCGGACTATGTTGCAACCGATGATTTGTTCGATTGTAATTATTTCGATGATGCACGTCCAGTTTGCTATCATTGATTTGACTAGAGGTAATCCGTGCCGATGCGCTTACAACGGCATTATTGTCATGCGGTAGAAGTTTTGTGCTGTGACCCGCTGTAAATATAACATTGTAAATCGTGCTCATTGTTTCGTTTCATTCAATTTTTTTTATTTGCTTTTTTTGCATTTTGACGTGGAAGTTTTGGTTTCGTTAATTTTGTAATTTTTTTTATTTTGGTTAAGTATTGTGTGGGAGAGTAGAAGGATGTTAACTACGCTTAGTATAATTTTTTTTAGGATCTAACATTACACACGCCCAATTCATAATGGTATATACTTGATGTCATTCAAAGTATTGTCCACTTGATTGTTCACTTCAGTGTGATTGAGACTATTGATAACGACGACTTGGTTTTAAATAACACTTTGAATAAAAATAAAGTACACAAAAATAAATTTGGTTTTATTAAATATATTATTTAAATTTAGAGAAATTGAAATGAAACACATTTCGAAATAAAGAAAGAAAAAGGAAATAAATGTGATAATAAGGTCAACGTTTGCAGTATTAGCACAGCTTCGGTTAATATTTGCCATAATTCGATTGCTTAAAATAACAAAATTAGATTTATTTTTGGATTGATATTTGACACAGATATATAAAAAAATATGCAAGATTTATTTTTTTTCGAATTTAAAAGAAAGATGAAACAACAATAACAAAATAACGATATGTGTAGTAGTAAAAAAAAATCAAGTGCGATGACAGACACACACATAAATAAACAACAACAATTTGGTTTCGGATCATCCAGTGCAAGTATAATTAAAATAACAATATGGGATTTACATTCACTGTGGACGACTTTAAAATAGAAAAATAGATAAAATAATATTTAAATTGGTAAATATCAAAAACAAAAGAGTATTTTTAAGCGAAACGGTATATATGATTCACTTTGCACATTATTCTATTTCGGGCATTTTTTTTAAAATGAAAACACGCGCATTCAGAGTGAGCACACACACACACACACACACATCATAAAGGATAAAATTGAAATCAAACACATTTATAGAATATGGCAATATAAAGTGGAATAAGCAACATTTAATATTAAATTTTGTGTTCGATTGTATTGAAAAGAAACAAACAAAAATCACATTGCAGTGATATGTGAACACGAGACGGGAGAAAAAAATGATAAATCAAACATATTGTATTTGAAATTGTTTTCATATTTCATGGTGAAATTCAATGCACACAAACACATTTCTCACAACATTTAGTTCCAATAAAGATCCACTTTGTCCGAAACTGTTTTGAAATTCGAATGGACAAATATGGGAGATCGTACGATATCACAAACTCATATCACATAAAGTATTTGCAATCCGCGCAAAAACATCAAAAGATTAAATTGCATTGTGCACCACAAATATAAAGAGAAAATAAATAATTCGATTGAAAGTGTTTGCTTATATAGTATTGCTGTTTTGATGAAACCATGGACAAAAAATATTTGCAGTTGACAGATTCATTCCCGCCCGTGTAAATATTATTGGGATTTGCTAAGTGATTACCTTTTATCATATTTAGTTGTGGTTTTGTGCGGAGATTGTTTTCATTTTTGTCTATCTCATGTAATGTTTTGATTCAAAAATTTAATGGTATGAATTTTTGACCGAACAATTTTTCATTTTCCACGATTTATAAGTTGTTTTCTTCGTCGTTATTTTTTTTCCTTTCGATTATTATCAATTTGTGAACAATGTATTTTGTCAACTATTCCATGTCGGCCGTGTGTATTCTGTTATATATTTTCCATGCGATTGGCGAAAAACACACGGTAAAAAAATACCACTAACATTCCAGCACACCATTCAACTTTTCTATCGAACGACAGAAGGACTTCAAACAAATAACCAACATTTTCTTTTGGCACTAAAACTATGTGCTTTTTGTGCAAAGTTCATTTGTGTTTTTCCCCTTATTTTTTTTGGTTGGTAAATTTTGTCGTCGTTTTTCTTCGGAATATTTACAATTAAACATTCAGCAGACGAAAAACCAAATAAATGGGAATTGATGTTATTATATAATACTTTTTTGAAAACAAAAAAAAAAAACTATAATTAAGAAACTGTTCGAAATAAAAACGAGAAAACATTAACAACGACACACAGTAGATTTGTTGTGCCAAGGAATTTCTCTGAATACGTTCGTTTAGTTTGGAACAATGCAGAGAATGTGAATTGTGCAACACACGAAAAAAGAATTTGAAGAAATACAAATATACAGTGTTAAAATCACGTCGAAATTTTAAGTAAATGGTAGTTACTTAAAAGATTTGTTGTTTTATTTTCTTGTATTTTTCGATGGGAGCAACAACGTCGAATTAGTAAACTATTGAGAACGTTTTTAATACAGCAATTTTTTTTTTGTTTCAAGCTGTGTATGTGTGTTTGTGTGTGTATTAGTTTTTAGTTATGTGTGTATAGTGTTTGTGTGCTGAGTCTTGTAATTGTATTTTGTTCGTTTGTGTGTTTATTTTGTAAGTTTTCTGAGAGTATATTTATATGGAGGGAGTGAAAATGACATTTCGAACAAATGATTCATTCTGATAAAATGAGTTTAGACACTTTCATTGCCAGTACAAACTGCCAAATGTTTTGCATACGATTCAATAATGGCATGAAGAAATGAAGAAGAAGAAGAAGACAATTGAGAAAATTCGAAATAAGAAATTGAATGAATGATAATGGTTTTTGTCTTTCCTTCTGCTTGCTTCAAAACCATAACCGTGTCAATAGAGTTAACAAAACTCTTGGCGAAAAAGTGCTGACTATAAAAAAGCCAACAACTTTGGTGAACGACTGATTTGCATGGTGAAATGAGGATGTTCCCATTTTCACTTATAATATGGTTTTCAATTTATGCAGTGAAAGCGAGGAAGAGAGAGTGGTAGAGAGATTAAGTGAGTGCGAGAGAGATAACGAAAGAGAGAATGTGAGAGCGGAAGGTGACCAGAGAGAGAGAGTTAAAAAGTCAATTTTTTTTTCAAAATTGCTTGTAGTAAGAAAACGATTCGAATTCAAAATTCAACCAAAGAAGACCTGCATTAACTATTACATGCATTCACCGAAATTCAATAGTTTCAAAAATAATATCATGCAGTAATATGACAGTTAACTGATATTTTGAGCGTGCATTTGGAAGCATGAAAATGCAAAATATCGCCAGTTAAATGGCTAATATTGGATACGCTCAATGTCATTGTGAACATAATTTATGGATGAGCTCTTAATATGAACAATATGATAGCACGCATCAAACAATAGCCATAGCCATATGACCGAAATAAAGTTTAAATCGAATTCGTTTCAATAGGCTAAGCAAGCCCAAATACTTCAATAATTTTAGCAATGGATTCATGTAATTTCCATGATTCAAAATTGAAAATTTACTTGGTTTAATTGATACAACTGAAGCGAAGCACTAATTTGACGTTCAAAAATAGTTTTGTTGATTATGTCAACGTGAATGAGGTCGATTGATTCGTACGACACTATGTGGCGCTCAATTAAATTAAAAGCCTATGCAACGGCGTGCATTCATAGAAAGAGATGGCAAAAAATGGAAAACACGAAGAAAATCATTTGATATTCAGATAACATGACTTGAGACGGTGATTGGGTTTGAAATCGTTGTAACCTCTCCATCTCTCTCTAACACGCACATACACACACACACACATTCATTCGTTCGGTGTCGCTTCAAAGCTCGGTGTTGTAGCATATGGAATTCCAATTCGTTGAGCCATCATAATTAGATTTTATTTTCCATTTTCATCTGTACATACTTTCTAATCTTTTTAGACAAAATAGAGGAGAGCAGAAAAATAAATATATCCTATATATGTCATGTGCTTTTATGTTTTCCGCTGTTTTTTTTTTGTAATTTGAATGTGTGTCTTGTTTGCTCATTTGTATGTCGAATACATTTTACTCGCAAAAATTCACTCAATTTTACTGACGGAAAATATAAATTTCAATTTTTCTGTTGTTGCACATTTTTTCGCCATTTCCACATTACTCTCTTTATCTATCTCTCATTTTCCTTATTTCTTTCGAAGTCACGAGTCGCGGTGTGATTTTTTTCCTCCAAGCTTGAAATTGAATTCAGCTGCACTTGTCAAAACAGCAAAGTCGAGCCACCGTAAACTCAATGCATGTATAAAGTACGGAAAAAAACCCTGACCTGACTCTGGATCATCTGGAATGCATTGCATACGAAATGATTGTGGCCAAAGTGATAGAGGGTGTATATGTGTGTGAGAGAGAAGAGAACAGTACAAAAGATAGATAAATGAGAAGGATAGGGAGAAAGTGTGACAAATTCTGAAAACCATGTGTGAAATTAAATATGAATGACACGATTTGCGCTGAACGAAACAACGAATCGACTGAAGAAAGGAAAAACATATATTATCACTGCTGATTACTTGTCAAAGATGTGGCGAAACTGTGTCATCAATGTGTGTGTGTACATGTTTGAGTGTCAAGAGATGAGATGGTTTAAAGTCGAAAGAGTGCAAGAACAACCTAAGGCTATACAATGTAAACTCGATGATGATGATGGGGTGGATGACAGAGAGAACGAGTAAAACAACACAAAAAACGATAGATATGCAAAATGAATATGAAAATGATCATTTCAACACAGAAAATTATATCATGGCACACCGTTGTTACAAGAACATTTACAATCAAATGAAGATGTCCATGAAGAAGATCTGACACTTTTCAATTTATTTTAAAATCACCGTTTTATTTGCAGAACATACTTCTTGCTCTTGGATTTTTTTGTTACAAGTTTTTTTTCGCTCCTTCTGTTTGTGTCTTTGTATGATTATTTTTGTTTCGTGTTTTTTTTCCTCTCTCGATTGTCACTTGATTGACAAAAGTGTCTTTTTTTCAAACTGTCAATCAAAACTCGTTTGTTTTCGATATTTATCAACTGATAAAAATGTCTATATTTACACAAGGTTTCCGTTAAAACTCTTTGTTTTCCGTATGTAAATGTCACTCAAAGGGGGAAATGCATGCTATGAAATGCGTTAAAATCGTAATCTGACCGAAATCATGTATCACACATACTATTATGAATAATCACTGGTGAAGCACACAAACACGTTAAAAGATATCAAATTTATTTTGTCATATTGTTTTCCAAATTACGCACGTTTTTTTTCTTCTAAAAGTCAAATGGTACCAATTAACGTTCTGTAATGAAAACCAATGGCCGGTTTATTTTTTTTTTTTTTTTTTTCATAAAAAATGTTTCTGTCTTTCTTTTAAAGTGGAATGTTCACCAAATGTTCGCAATTCCGATTCAAAGTACGAATTAAAAATTCAAGTGCACTATTTTATTTCGCCACAACGAATATGCTGTTTCTGTTTTGTTGGTTTCACAAAAATGTCCGCATTGTGCGACGAATGGTACTAAACTGTGCTTGAAAATTATTACAAGTTTTCGCTGAAACGCCAACAATATCTGTGAAACTTTGCGTATAAACAGCAACATCCAGTGGTATAGACCAAACATTGTACATACACACAAATACTGGCACACACAACAAAAAAAATGGGAAAATGGCCTAAACGCGCCACTGACTTCAAATGTTAGATTGCATATGGCATATAAGAATGGTTGTTGTCACTGGCCTTCAATACCATAGATGGCTATATATGTGTGTATGGCATTCGAAACGGCTGTGCAAGCATGCTTCATACCGACAGCGACTACGGCATTACGACCCCGTATACTGGCTGCTTTGACGTTGAATGCAATGATTTCGCGCCGCTAGCTGTGCGTGCACAATACTATCGCAAACAGAAATGTTACACCTAGTAAAAGTGGTCACACAAGAAACAACAACAAAACCGAAAATACCAATGGTAAAAAAGCGAATCAAATGGAAAAACCAAAACCGAATCGTATTCACTGATATTATTATGAATCTTGCCCCCGAGTAACTATCGTTCATTCCGATACACACTGACAAACGAAATCCGTGGCAAACGGTAACGCATACACAAAAACAGGCACAACTACATTCACATAATATCCGTGAAATGCGTGTTTTCCATCCGAAATTCGCTCTCAGTCAGGATCATCGGCATACTGCGAAAATCGAGTCTGAAACATTATACGGACCAAAATGAAATGGAACAAATGATATGGAGAGAGCGTAAGCGAAACAGTGACAAAAAGCTTTTGAATTCGAACATTGAATGAATGTGCATGGTTTGGAAATGCGCATGCGAATCAGCAAACGTATCATATCAGAAAAGGGAGAGAGAGAGAAGACAGAGAAACGACGAATTTTCGTCATTCTAAACTTGGTAGCGTGATATTTATATTTTTATTTCTTTTATCTTGATTTTCTAAATTTATGTTCATTTTTCCTATATATATTTTTATTTGGGGTATGTATACATATATAAACACCTCATAATGCGAAAATGTTATTAGAAAAATGAGCTCAAAAATGGGAATGGTAATGGGTCTTATGTCCCAACTGAATTGGGAAATAATACACATGAACTCATTTATGGAATATAAGATTTTGTGTGTACAAAGCGAACAATCGGCATTTTTTTCATACTTTCTCCATAGGAAATGTATAATAACTCAAGTTGAAATAACGAACACACAGTACGTGTATCATGCTTGATTTCAATTTTCCTTTGATCTTAATAATTTTTTAACGAGTTTTAACTTCCTGTCACACCTCGGGTCAACGGTATTTACAATATGTCGCCAAACACATACACATACTAACTAAATTGGTACAAAATCGTTTTCCTGTCGTGTTTCATCGTAAATGCATTGATTTAAACAACTAATAATGCTTTGCGATTTTAATTCGTGTAACTACTATAACTTGTAAGGATGATGGAACATGTGCAGTTGAAGAAGAACACCAAAAACTTTAAAATGCTTTGCATCGCTTTCATTGATGAATACAATATTGCTCACAGTGTCACTTGCAGCACGTGCTCTGGAGTTTAGTTTATATTGGTAGGTGCCAACGTGTCCCTTTTTCTACACTTTTTCCAAATTATAAGTTTGAAAAACAAAAACACCACTCAAAGGAAATTATTTGATGTAAATGCTGTCGTTTGCAAAATCTGTTCAAAAAAATGTCACTTTTTCAATGTTGCTTACTTTAGATGTCTCTGCTCTTTCTGATAGATAGAAAACTATCTGAGTTACTGAGTTTTGAGATGGTCGTGTGTTTATTTTAGATAAATTTTATTAACCATATCAATGGCATGTCATTGTTCCACTTTAGCGAAGGCGATCGAATGTAATTTTATTGTTGTTGTTCGTGCCATTCAAACCCACGTGATTTTCCATGACATGACTTTCATATAATGTTCGATCAAATAAAGTTGGAATATGTTGTACTTTTGGTTGTTCTTTATTTTTAGTGTGTCGATAATGGTTTAGTGGTCGTTGCAATTTGTCGTCGCATTTGCGATTTTTATTGTGCTGACTTTATTGGCATGCTTGCGATTTCTTTTTCCTTTTTTTTGGAAAAGTGGATATATTTTAACCATTGACGCTATCATCTCTAAACATCGAACGATGTTTTTGTTTGCGACAGTGACGTCAAATGAAGCGAACAGAATGGAAACATCACAGGGAGGGGGTGTGATATTGATTTATTTTTGTTTTCTTGGTTTTCTCTCTCTCTCGACCGTCTATCTATGTGTAACCAATTTTTTTTAGAATTCAGAGTGTTGTTTTGAGTCATGGACATGTAAGCTTCGGATTGAAAATGTTGTTGATATTGTTTTTGGATTATAGCGATAATATATGTCTTTCAAATTATTAATTGAATGCTTTTAAAATGTGCAATATATATGTAATGAACTTCTGAAAATCTACAACCCACAGATTTAATTTGGAAATGACATAATAAGCTCTTGTGTATTCCAACCAGCCAGTTTTATAACAACGCAATGAAAAACGATGTATTCAAAGCATAACGGCTTTCTGCTAGCAATGAATGCGATGACGATTTTTCATTTTTGAATCGCAGCTTTTGCTCAAACAACCGAATGTAAATTGAATAACTCGAAACCGTGTTAATGTGTGTGTTTGCTCAATGTATGAATCTATGCACGGAATTCGTACCGAAATACGATGAAAATACAACAACAAATGATTCCCATTCATGAAAATTTCATCATGAATAGATTTGAGCTTACGATTTTCGGGCAAAGAGAAACATTGACGTCGTCATCGTCATCGTCTTCATCGTTGCCATTATACATATTTGTATATTCGTTTCTATCCAATGGTTTGTGTATGAGCGCACACAAAAAATACCGTTCTCACTTGCACTCGCTCTCTTTTTAATGTCTCTGAATACAACGTGTTCGGCTGTATGTGTGTATGTATGTATGTGTATGTATGTGTGTGAATGGTGTTTGTTATCCGCAACAGACAATATATTAAGTGAGTGAATCAGAGAAAAATCGTGGGTGGTGTATATTATGCTGTGTGTGCTAAGAGACGTCAGCAAATATGAAATTACGAAAATTGGCAGAGGGCGAACATAAGAACAAACAGTGGAAACGAAGGATATCAAATAAAAAAAAATAACACACACACAACAACCATATAGATCCCATTATGTACTGCGCATTTTTGGTTGCCGTTATTTTTTCGGTTTTAAATGAGCCTTTGACTTTTGCTCGTTCGCATTGGAGTTTATTTTTTTTTCTTGCGAGTATTTTATGTTCGTTTCGTTGGCTTGGAAATGTTTGATGCGAATAGTTCTGCTTTTTTTTATTCGTCATGTGGAAAAAGAAACTCAGTGTAAAATTATGAATTTTGATCGCGGTAAAACATCTTGCACATAGATTACGATGAGGCCAACGGCGCATATTATAATGTGGCATTTTTTTCTCTCTCGTCATTCTGCTTCTCGGTTTATTGTTAGTCGGATAGTTTGTTGTTGTTGTAAAAATGACGCATCGTACAACAATCGATAAATACTTTAGCATGTTTGCTCTCTCTTTCTGGCTTACTCACTCAGTGTGTGTTTCCACGTTGCCAGAGACATTGTCGTCATTTCACCATAAATTGATATACAGCATTCAAATTATATATACATATGCAATGAAATAAATGTGCAGACTTTAATCTCGTTTATTGTTTGAATGGTTTTTACAAGAAATTCTCTCTTTTTTTCATTACATCTTCGGTCTTTCTAGCGAACTTGAATGAATCATCTTCTTATCGCATAGGTTGATTGAATTTCAATACGGATTCTTTTCTCCATTCTCTCTTTCATCAGAATTATTATTCATATTTGATCTTCATGCATTCATTATGCAGAGAAAAAGCGAGAAAATGGTTTTTTTTTTACATTCCATAAGAACTAAATGACATTCTACTGCGAAATTGTGCTTGATGCATGAAATGAGGTCAGTAAAATGTATCGAGAGAAAGAAAAAAAAACGAATAAAAAATGAGTGATGAGCGTCCGGCCAATGATTCAAAAACTTGCTGGCAAATGCGATCGCTTTTCTTGAGAATAAAACAATGCGAGACAGAGTGAAAATATGATGACCTCGAAAAGAAAATATAGAATGGCCAGAAGTTATGCCGCCATGCATTTGCTAATCTGGATATCAATAAACTTTTGCTTTTTTTGTTCGACAGAAATGACACACCACATTGGAGTTTAATCGTGTGATGGAAATAAGCAGACCAATCGTTCGATAATTGTATATGAATACTGAATGAATCACTTGTCATGTGTAGTTATGTGTGGTTTGAAGTAAAAATGTGTTTTTATGTGATAAATGTTTTTTTTCTGTGCGTTCACCGTTTGTTAAGGTTAACGCACATTTTGATTAATATTGTTTATATTTTTGGTATATTTGAAATTCTCAAGAATAAATGGGCTTTAAAAAGATTTTACAGCACATTTAACAAATAAAAAAGTTATATATGAGAGCTAATCGAATTTCATTTGAAAAAAATGTTTGCAAAGCAACGCAATTAATATTGAAAATAACACTCACCGTCATATTCTTCTTCGGAACTACTAAATGATGTTTGTTGAGCCAAATGGCCCGCAATTGGTCGTTTATGCTGATTAATGTCTGGAAAATATGAACGGAGGATGCCTTAATAGATTGAAGTTGAGTATTAACACACCTACACACAATTCTAATTATTTCGAATGGATTTTTTTTTAGCTCCATTCAAAAATATTAATACATCCGTGGGAATGTGAGCTTTTTGCTTGGCTTTTTACGTCTTATCTTAGATTATTATATTATGCGTCATTTTGAAAAGTTCATCATTTTATCAATGTAAATGCCATGTTTACTTACTTTGTGTGGCGGCACCGCTGCTCGAATGTTGCTGTAAATGTTGCTGTGAAGGATGCAAATGCTCTTGACGATGATAATGTGATTGCATTGGCTGAGGCAATTGAATTCCCGATGAGTGAGAATGTTGTTGTTGCTTTATAAAATGTCGTTGTTGTCGTGGATGCATTAAATGAGGATGCTTTAACATCAAACCGTCTAATTCTCCCTGCCGGATGCCAGCGACGAAACAAAAGAAAGACACACACAAATGAAAAAGGGAAAAAAATCATTGAGATCACTTCAATCCTTCGGCATCTCCTTGCTATTCGATTTTTTTTTGCCTCTTTCGTTATTCAATATGATACCATACCTGATAGTATTTTGGATCTTCATCGGTTGAATAAATATCGGATGATGGTTGTTGGTGTGTTGATTGATGATGATTCGTTCCATATAACGATGATTGTTGAAAATGTTGTGATGCGTTCGATGCTTGAATTTGTTGTTGCATGCGTCGTTGTGCTGGATTGAGCATATCAACACTCGAATCGTGTGAATATTGACGTCTCAATCCGCTGCCAGTTCGTTGTAATGGGAGATTTTCTTTTTCGGCAGCACTTCGGGCTCGTTCTAATTTTGGTCGTTTATCCGATGGATCATGTGGATCCGGATGAAGTGACTGAAAAATACCCAAACGACATTTAAATGATTAAAATGCGAAAATCAATTCAAGTGTGAAAATACAAATTCGAATATGCGAAATGGAATGAATGTAATAAAAAAAAATTGGTTGTACTACTTACACCGCCAGTCGCACAGATAAAGCCTTCGCCTTCCGTTGTTTTCATCCATTGTCCAGTCGACGATAAAAGTTCCTGTTTTTTGCGACACACCATACACACCCAAATGACCTGTTTGTGTTTTGTTCGTTGCAGACAAACAAATATACAAAAAACAAATACAACGTTATATTTGGCCTCTATTTCTGTATTTTTGTTTATAATCAACCGTATCGCCAGTAACATAAAATGTTGCTGTCTGCGCAAATGCTTACCTTTCCTCTGATGGTTGTTTTACCACCACATCTAGCACAACAGCGTATATTACAATAATGACAAATGTGACCAACGCCATCGGCAAATTTTGTTTTTAAACATATGTGACACGTTGCTTCTAATTCAATGCCAGCTTTCCGTTGCTGTTCCGATCGTTGTCGTATCGTATCTTCTAGTGTATTAACTTCATCTTGTTTTCGTCTGAAAAATGCAATTTTCAACGATTGAATTATTTTCGACAAATCAAAAATGGTAAAACAAAAGGAAAAATCGAAATTGAAAATGAAATTGCTCCCGTTTGAGTCCACGGTGAATGTGAACGATTTTGTTGCATTGTCGTCATGCTCTTGCATACCGATATATTTCTCGGAAGCGTAGCAACATAGGAAGGATGCTTTCAGCGCTACTTCAAAAGCTCTAATTGAAACTGCCACTCAACATAAATTAGTGATTTTCCACTAACTTGATGAAAAATCAAATAAACGTCAAACGAAAAACATGGAAAGCCGTCTCGAAGCACTTCGAATAACATTAATGATTAAAAATCAATAAAATGCATCCCATGTCAATTTCCCTTCATTATTTTTATATATTTTTTTCTTCTTCTTATATTTACTCTCTTTCTTCCTTTTCTCCTCTCCTTCTTTTTGCGTTTTCGTTTTTCACTCTTGAAAACTTGAAATTCTAACGAAGTTATTAAATACCTTCTAATGGGCTTGTGCTTTTCTATTGTAATAGTTATATGGTGGTGGTGTCATCATCAATGATAGGCCCGCGTTCGCGTGCGCTTTGAAAGTACATTTTGTGCAAATAGCTTCGAAATTCGTTTTACATTTATATTTATATGCAAAATAGTTGCGACATGTTTTGATTCATTTTTCATTGTTGCATTTCGCTAACAGCTTTCCTGTTCTCATGTTCACAAGTTCTTTTGGCGCTCATTGAAGTGGATTCGTTTCTGTTATGGTTGTGACGTAAAAGACATACATAACCAGCAATGGGAAATGGTTTCTTATTTCTCGATTATTATTATTTTTTTGTATTCTCTCTTTCAAGTGACTGAGTGTGTTTCGAATGAAAATTTCAAATTCATAGACTCATCTCTTTTGCTGGTTCGCTAGTATTCAATGTGGAAGTACATGTGGAATGAAGTAGCAGTGTGGCTCATTCAGATAAGGTCAAAAAGATTGAGAGAATGGGATGGTACCGCTATTTGTGTACATCAGTAAAGTACAATTTTTTTAGCTATTGATTTTTCTCTCACTCTCTCTTCTTTCGCAACGCCACTTGTTATGGAATTTATACTCGAGCACTTCCTGCATCCTTCTCCTTCCCGTTTTCTTCTTTTTCCGTTTGTTCATCAGCCAAATGGAAAGCAAAATTAGTTACATCATCATCTGATTGCTTTCAAACTCGCATACATATATGTATGGATCGGCTGTGTCATTAAAGAATTGAATTTAATTTATATTGTCGTAAAAAACCGCAAAAATGTTCATTTAAATAGCGGTTGCGGTAACAATATCGATATCAACACAAAAACCAATCAATAGTTTAATTCAATAAAGTAATTTATTGAGAATTGAAGTTGCCATGAAGTAACCTAATGAATTTTTGTATGCGAAAATGATTGGCTTCACAATAAACACACTAAAAGACATAGACACTATCTATATAGTGGTTTGAGCTTTAAATAGCCCATATATAGCACCCATTCAGTGGTGAACAGTAAATGTTACTTTATAAATAGTTTAATTTAATCGGTATGGCTGCATTTATGCACTTTGATAAATATGTGTCAGAGTACTGACTTTTAGATAAGAGTAACAACAGTGGTCTGGCTTAAAATGAATTGAATTGAGAGAGAAAAAACACATCCCTATGTTGAATTTACAATAGAATTTTATCTAAGAGTCAGCATCTCTTTGTGTAATGGATGTGGAAAAAATTATCGTCATCATCATAAATGAGATGACTCTCTCTCTCTTTCTCTCTCATTTTCTCTCTGTGTGTGCATGTGGCAAATGACAAAGAGACGTCAAATCAGCTGAAATAACCAAGAGACATATTGAGCGAAACAAAACAAAAAATATACAAGTTGACAAAGCATTGCTGAAGCAGCAAGCGAGGGAGACCAAAAGTGGGTGATAGAGAACGGGAGCGAGCGTGTTCACAATGAAATAGGAAATGGAAATGAAAATTGATTACTTACTGCATAATCTCCTTTTGTTGTTCATCTTCCTGACGCTGTCGCATCATCACATTTTCGATGATGGCGCGCTCTTCTGCGGTTAGGTGTGATAGATCAGGCATATCGGCCATTTTTTTGTGTTACCACCACCACCACCCCAATTTAATTTGTATTTTGATTTTGCAATATTTTTGCCTTTTGGACACGCAGTCCCGAATGATTAATTCGAACTTCTTCTATGGCTGCTACTACTTCTTTTATATTCTAAATTAATTTATTCCTTTCGTGTAGTGGTTTTGCATTTGAGAAATAAACATACTGTGTCGGAATCTCATGCACAGGCACATAATTAATATTTTTGGTTGAATTTTCACTTGAATTTTTGTTGTTGTTGTGGTTGATTTACATTTAAAACACTTTGTCACTACGAATTCATGCAAATCGCATCGGCCTGCGAATGTTCGATTTGTTTAATCGCTAGCCCTTCGATTGATTTGTGCATATTCTGTACAATATACGAATTAAAACATATACGGTATAATTATATATATATATTCCAAAGCTTGTGCTATTTTAAAAACACTCGTTTAGTGTAGTTTGGTTGGATAGTTGCTGTGTGTCGATGTTGATGTTGTTTAAAAGTTAAATAAATCTGAATTTATTTGAACTTTTTTCGTCGTATTGAATGGCGTATTGTTGTTGTTGCGTTGAATAGTTTCGTGCGAATCGCCCAATATTAATGCGACGGAATTCTTTAAGCTATCCTAAAATATGTGGCTTCTTTTCGTAGAATTTTGTTTTAAAAAAATTGGGACTTTTCGTTAAAATACATTTTTTTGTTTTAAATTTTTCATTGTTTTCATTGTACTAAAAGATGATGTTTTTTTTTGTTCTGTTGATTTCTGCAAAAGAAAAAACAGTTATGGATTATTATGAGTAAATTAAATTTTAGTGTTATTATTTATGATTTGTTTTGGTTTTAATTTAAACGTAATGCTTTGATCGACCGAAAGAAAGGATTCAATTTCAAACAAAGGGTACATCCGCTTCACAATGTGGGAAAAATAGTATCATCACTTGGTTGGATAATGAATGTGGTGAATACACAATTGAATGTTATATAAAGTTGCAACCGTCAAGACAAAATGAAGAATGGAAACCTATTTAATGTGTCCCAGTTCAGTTTAGTGACAAATCTTTTCGATCCTGTCGGCCATACAATCACATTGAAACAAGAATAAGCTCTAAAACACTGAGCTGTTAATCCACAGTGGCCTTAAATGATCAAGTGGTTTTCGCATCATTGTTGTAGAGCTTTTGAAGAAAATTTGTGAGAGAAAATAGGAAATAAATAGAGGGAGAGAATATAAAGAGAATAAAAATCACTTGGCTCTTGTCATTTTCGTTTTTCACAAGAACGTTGTTGTTGTTGTTTGTTTGTTAATATATATACACACTCCTTCGCATTTGGAATTAAGCCCGCACAAAAAAAAACTGTTGCGGCATTAGCGGCGGAACGGAGTGGCGGATGATAATATGACATGAAGAGAATGGTGTGTGTATTTGTGTGTAAAGAAATTGAAACAAATAATACAGTATACACCAACACCTTGTAATAAAACAGAAAAAAAAGTGTCATGATGTCAAGTTTCACTTTCGACGCCATTATTGCATCACACGTACAATCGAACTCAAATAATGCTTGAATAGATTAATTATATTTATCATGGTAGTGAATGGTGCATAAAAAAATATCAGAGAGGCGCACAGCGGAGATGAAAGGAGAAACGAAGAGCAAACGGAAAAGCGATAAAAACAGAAAAACAGTGGAAAACTCGTTGCAGAAAATAATGGCATTTCATGAAGTAGAAAAATATTAATGCAAATAAAAAAACGGCAAAGGAAAATATCGGCGGTACATGGTGGCTTTTTTTCGCATCGTCGATACAGCAATCGTCGTTCGCTTGATTCTCACTCTTTCTATTTCTGTTACACAATGTTGCCTTTGTTGCATCAATAACCAGCACAAGTAACACCAAGAATATTTCCAGTGAATAGATTGGGCTACAGATATAGCAGTGCTATTTTCACAGCTCCTATTCATAGGTGCTATTTGTGAACAACGCATGCGGACAGCGGATTTATGATACGATCCCGAACGAAATGTTCAAAATGTAAATAGAACAGTAGACTTATTGATTTTAGTATTTATTTGCATAAACAAATCAATAGGTCGCTGTCCATATGTGTGAATAGGAGCTGTGAAAATAGCACTGCTATAGCTGTAGCCCAATCTATTCACTGAATATTTCATGGAAATTTGTGTGTTCGTGTGCACATCGAATGAGTCAAAGGCATATTATCACTGCAGAGAGCAAACCGAAAAACACATCAAAAAGATGTAAACGAAACAGAAAAAAAAGTAAATGGAGCAAACGAGAGACTCTCACACTGCATAATTTCTCTTGCAAATGCAGTTATCCGAATGCCTTTAAAAATGCAAATGCATATGACAGGGAAAATGTATTTGCATTGTAATGCAGAAAACGTGTCTACCAGGTGATAACTGCCATACGATTTTGTTGTCTGATCGGTAAAATGAACCATGAATATTTTCTGAGCATTTCAATGTGTGGAAATCATTGATGAGCTCACAGACACCCAGCATGTTGCGAACATCATGAAAAAGCGACGACAATGCCATTCATTTCGTGACATTTATTGTGTAAATACACATTATCAATTTTATTGAAGCACACCACCAATATTTTACGTTGACTTGTCATTCTCACTGTATTATATTTGATACAAATTGCAAAGATGTTCAAATATGACCATGTAAGTGACACTGCAATATTTTATGTTTCTACTAAAAAAAGATAGCACTTTCGCTCTCCTCTACAATGTATATTCTGCATGTTTAAATCGTTGTCACCCTGTGGTTAATATTTCTTCTGACTAAAACACAATTTTTCTCTGGTCGTACAATAAAAACGATATGCTTGCACATTATGCATACATGGCCAATAACCCAATTCTATTTTCTTTGAAATTTATTCACCGCCTGTTTGTGTGCGTTTTCTTTTTCACTCCTTACAAGTTTTTTTTTGTTTCTCGTATTTTGTCTTCGTTCAATTCTTGGGTTTTCATCGCCTTGGCCAAATGCAATCAACAATCACTTGCACAATCCATCTTTTTCCGCTTTGGTGCGCGCGAATCCACACTCTTTTCATCTTTCTCCCGTGCGCTCACACTGTTATTTACGTTAAATACCCTGCAAGCATACAATGCACTGCACAAGAACGAATGGACGTGCAAATTTATTTATTCCGTTCAGCTTTTTGCCGCTTTTCATCTTCAAATTTAGGACAATTATATTAACACGAAATTCATTCGCCAATATATACAATATTAAACACAATAAATGGCAGAGCCGTTTAGTTTGCGTTTGTTCTAAAACGATGGAACGCGCGCGCACCACTCAACCACTTGTTTTTGTTTTCTTCGCTATTTTAACGCGGTGTGCCATAAATCATCCGTCGTAAATGCAAGCAATTGAATTGAATGCAGTAGCTTTTGTACTTGTGTTTTTCTTCATTTTCTGAATGGACGAAGATATTATACATATACGGTTGGTTACACAAAACAAAAGGCAAATACAAAACTCTCTGCATCAACCTCAACACAAATCACATGAGCCAAAGGAAAATGGTAGGGTAAAGTGGGGTGAAGTATTACCCCACTGTCGTGTCACTTTCCAAAATTCCTTTCGATTTAGTCAAATAATTACTAAATCTTCACACAAAAATATATTTACCCGTTTTGAACAGTGCAAAAGTTTGACCAAATCACGATTGAATGAAACACTATGAAAACTTAAAAAAAAAAAAATTGGATCATGTCTGTCTGGGAGAACGACTAATTTGCATGTTAACAATTCGGCGACCATCGGTAAAATGAGCTGAGAGCACAAGTTATCGTGCCCGGTATTTTTTTTTAGAAATTTTGACGTTATTCAGCCCACGTCTCACTTCACCCCACTTAACCCTACGCACCGGACTAACGTGTAAGATATTGTAAGAGAGCGAAAAACATTGAATGTATGCATTATGTTCACGTGAATGTTGAGAAAACTATGGTAGTGCTATATTATGTTATGCTAAAACTTACACCGCACAAATAAAAAAAAAATGTTTATTTTCACATCACATTAAAAATTTAATGTTGTAATCTGAAAATTGGTGAATTTTTAATTTTTATTTCGTGCCATTGAAACGCGTTGTTGATTTAACGACCAACGTCGACAACGACGACGACGACGTTTGAAACGGCGAGAAAGAGATCGAACGCTTTACACATGTATATAAATGTGTGTGTTTGTGTATTTGTGCACAATTTTGTGTGTCTGTGTGTATATGCGGATGGGATACGTGTGAAATGGCAAATTTGAATCACAGACCCACAGAGTGATAGGTATTTGGTGCACACAATACACACGTAAATATAAAACTTTAACCATTCTCAGCTTTTAGCTTTGTGCGATTTTTGTATGCGCGCATGTGCACATACGCATTATATTTTGATATCGTACATTTTCCATTTGTTCGGTTGCTTGCTTGTTCGTATATTTGTTCGTTGGTTCATCTCGATTGTCTTTGAACGAGGCTTTTCGGTCATTTATTATACATGGTTTTCCACGAAATTGATACTCATACACATTATTTTCCCTTTGTGTGTTACATTGACAATCTCTGACTATCTCACTCCATCTTCAATTCAACCATACACACTCACACACTCCATCATCGAACAACCTCCCCCCCTCCGTCACCTCGAAAGCTCAATTTGCAAAATTCCATGGGCATGTATTCACTCTTTTATAGCATTTGCCATTTGATAGTTTTGTATTCCAATTGAGTATTGGCCATTTGTTTGTATCGATATACTGAATGAAATGGAAACACATCAAACGAATCGAAATATAGGTGACTGTCATACGGTCGTAATTTTCTATTTGGCCAATCAATTGATTATTGGATTCGTGTTGTGATTGTATTCGTTGATCTTCAATTTATTAATGTTCACTCAGTTTATTTTTTTTTTTCGTTCGTTCGTTTTCCATTACATTATTTATCGTTCGTTGGAATGTTATCGATTGTTAAAGTTTATAAATCAACTCTTTTCATCTTCATCATATTTCTGTAATTTTTTTTCTCTATCTTCTGTCGATTACTCATTTTGATAGATGTTCACAAATGACCCCCGTCCCCGTTCCCAATCAAATGGAATCATCTTGTAAAAATGTTTTAAAATAAATTATTTTTTCATTTTGTCGCATCATTCTAGAATAAAATTTCAACGAATTTCAACATTACAATTCGTTCGCATATGGTATGAATCGACCACTTTATGGGGGTCACTTCAAGTTTTCCGTTTGGCGAATGCAAACACACAAAAATTGAAGAATAAAAAAAGATGGAGAAAAAAATGAGAAAACTTCGAAGTCGTACAGGCTGACAGATGAAGCAACAAGACACTCTACTCGCCATTAATGTTCAAAAAAAGAGAGAGAGAGAGAAAAAGAGACGATCCAAGAAAAGCGCTGTCACAGCTGTCACAATAAAATTTGTCTTTTGTTCGATTCGATATGTTTTTTTCTTCCATCTCTCTCTCGCTCTCGGTCGCTTCGCTCCGAAATATATTGAATATGTCTTATTGTTGCACGAAAAGATGTGCGATTTGCCTTGTTTTGTGCAAATGGATTCGGTTCCGCGTACATATGTTACCCGCTATCGCATTGATACATGCATTTATGGAAACTGAATGGCAATCAAATAAAAACACATGGTTAACCTTAAGTTTATAATTAATATGGGAACGTGTGTTATTTATATCCTTTTGTTTGAGTTATGTTTTGGTTGTTTTTCATTCAATACGGGGATTTAATATGTCGTTTTTTGTATACATGGTTTTTTTCTTCGTTTATCTTTCAAGACTTGATCCGTAAATCTATTTTCGGATATTTGGAGCGGAAAATTCGGATTACATTTGGGAATATAATATCGAAATGTGTGAAACAAAACTTTAATTTCATTCATTTACACTCTCAAAATCAATCGATTAGCTCTCTTCTTCTACTCCAGTGATTCCGAAACATAGATGAAAAACAACGTATTTGGTTGAAATGCGGTGATTTGAAGTTATTGAAATTGTTTTATTGCTGAAACCATACAAAAAAAAAACCGAATATACTTGTGAGAACGTAATCAATACTTTGATAGTGATAATAGTAATACTATGTAGTATGTTATTGAATTCAACCCGATTCACGTTGCGTATATATTTATCAGCCTATTTACACATGCAATAATTGGTTGTTCTGTAAACATGTTTCGATAATTAAGCATGTGTGTGGAGAAAAATTTAAAATTAAAATCCATAAATAGCAAAACAAATTAACATCGGTTCAATGAATTCAATTAAAATTTCGCACGTGGACAAATACGGTGTGAACACTGTTCAAATTGCCACTCGCTTGTTTTTATTTCTTTTCCATAAACAAAGCTCTTGGAGAAAAACAAACGTTCCACACGCCCTTAATGATTGAAAGTTCTTTTTTTTCTTCATCTATAATAATGTGGCCAGAGCCATCAACATCCCCTTTTCATCATTCCATAAGTGCGTATCGAACGAATTGAGGCTAAATATAAAATAGTCGTTATTTTCTCGTACATTACACGTTGTGTGATAGAGTCAATTTGGATTCATGTCGCGTGTATCTTTTGCTTCTATTATTGGCTTATGTGTGTATATATATTTCACACGTTTCATTCTTCTCTTATCTCCTGCTGTCGTTTACATCGATACAAAATGTTCAACGGACGAAGGTACGGTATTGATACGGCTTGAATGGGACAGAAAAAAAGAGAAAAAAACGAAATATTCAATCGGGCAATGGATGAACAAAAGTGGCGACGCGTATATTACGATGAAAGAATGTAGTGCGTTGTAAACAACACACCATTGAGACATCGTTTCATCTATATCATAATATATAGACATCATACCACCTTCCCATCCATTCAAACACAAATACACACTCCTTCTTCATTTATTTCGTGCAGAAACTGTTGAAATTCCACGTATCTCAATCTTCCTCACTTTTTTCATCATTTTAATTTCGATTACGTTAGATTGTGCTCTTTTTTTACCATACAAATTTAAATCAAAGCAAAACGTTAAAAATTCACGACGAAATATGTAAGCACAATATGATTAAAAATATGATAATCACCTTTTCCTTTTTATTCGTATTATTTTTAAGTAAAAATATTGAATATGCTGGCGTTGAATGAATACTTTTTTTTTCGTTTAAAATACTGAAAAACCAGAATGAATAATATGATTGAGTGCAATTTCACTCAAATTAAAGCTTTTTTACAATCGATAGACTGGAATCTGTATGATTGTTGTTGTTGTTGTTGTTGTTACTGTAAGTGGTGCTATTGATGTTGTAGTCGCCGTAGCCTCATCACCATGGTATTGCTGGATTTTACCATATTTTTGCAGATTTCTCCCGTGTATACATGATTTGTATGAATATTTCCATGGCGATTGACGATAAAAATTGAAAATCGTTTGCTATTATTGTGCTATTTGGTGGTTTTCCATTCATTATTCATTGTTAAATTAATTTTCATTTCAATTTATTTTTTTGTGTGTGGATTTTCTCTGGAACTTTTTTTTTCTATTTGGAATTTGTCTTATTGAGTACATTCACTCCTGTACACCTTAAACACGCACACAAGCACACATACACAATCACGAAATCGAGACGATTTTGGTTTTTCGATATAAATATATTTTTCAACTGAGAGGACCAAAAATTGTTTAATCAATTAAATGTGTCGTTCGTTTTTTTTTTCTTGTTTGGTGTGTGTTCCGAAATTGTTTTTTCCTTTCTCTTTCTGTTTATTCTGCGTTTTGGCCGAAATATTTTCTTTGTACACGAAATTTGTATCGAATGGCGGAATTCATTTGTGCGTTTAACCAAAAACAGCAAATGGAATTTTCACAAATTTCGGAACAAACATGGTCGTTGTTGTGTATTCTTGGTTCACTGTTATTTTTTGTTCGATTTGAATCCTCACGTAAAATGGGAATTGTTTCACACGCGCGCACACACATATACACAATCACTTACATTCTACGAATAAAATGAATCTCTTCTCTTTTTTTTCTTGAGGTTTTTTTCGTATTTTATTAAAACTTTCAACTTGTTTTTAGTTTGGATGAGATAAAAGTTTAGATTTTTCGAGAAAAAAAAACAGTTTTTTTGTACAACAATTTCAGTTTCGTATCAATTTTTTGTGTATATCTTTTTTACTGTGTGCTGTGTGTTACGGCTGATGAAGCGACTACTGCCTCTCTCTACTGTAGCTGCTACTTTTGCCACTGACGTCACACGAACAGTATTGATTTTCCCGCGACGTTTTTCCTCGCTTCAAATTTTCTTCACATTGTGCCTATGAAGTGCGATGAATGAGTTGGTGTGGGTGCGTGCACGTGTATGTGTGAAAGGGAGAAAGTGATGGTGTGTGTGTGGTGGTAGTAGTACGCTTTGGCATAGCTTTATGTGCTATGGTGATGACAAAGTAGCGACAGACAAAAACCATCGTTTGACAAAGCAACTAAGCTCAATTTTTGCCTATCGTCGTGTATGTGTAGATTTTGCGTTGGTGTGTTGAAACGCACACATCCACTTTTTACATATGCGTTGTGGTTCTAAGATTTTCTGGTGCGGAATGAGGGCGCCGTGATAAGCATGCAGACTTTTAATAGAAAATTCTTTATAAAGAATCCACGTCAGGAGCGGTTCATTCAAAAAAAAAAACAACACTTTCATAGAAATTTCAAAAAACCACATGAAATGAAACGATATTTTTTTCCAGTCACATACTTTTTTCAATATCTCTTTTATTTTGAAATGATTCGATTTCGTTACACAATTTTCAACTTACATCCGGCAAAGATACTTTTCATGAACATAGTGTTTATTCTTGGCTTATAAAATTGAAAAAATGTCTTTTATTATTGCAAAGCGATACAAAAACGGAGGATTCTGTAATCTATTGTACAAGCTTAAACAAAATTCAAAACAACATAAAATACAAAGATTTATTAATAAAGAAAATCTAAATGTAAAATGTTCCAAAGAAATACCTGTTGTTCAGAAAAAAATTCTCTGTTTAATGTCAGACTAAAATAAGAAATGGATTTTAAATCAAATGGAAGCCAAATTTAGCTAACGCTTGAATATACATATTGCGATATGATAATAACTAATTGAGAACACTTTGTGCTAATTTATTTTTCCAATTAAACGTAAGTCAGATTCGTTTTGTTTTGTGTGCATTTAATCATATTTTTTCAAAATAGAAAAACAAAAAAAAAACATTTGGCTATCAAAAGCTTGGCATGTTTGTTTCCAGCGAAACAAAAAGTTAAAGTTTTAAAACAGTGTGTTGATTAAAATCTTGGTCAATATATGTAATATTGCTCACTGTTGATTGAATCTGCCATTGAAATTGATGCTGTAGAGAATATCAACACGAGATTTAGGCCGCAGATTTTTTCAAAAGACTACCATAAAATGCGGTAATGGCAATTAGTTTTCGATCCAAAAATCCTTGTTCAATTTCAACGGTATTTCCGGGACCAGCAAGTTTTGCTAGTTGAAAAGTGTTCGTATTGCGAGGCAAATAGATGGCAATGTTTGGTGTTATTTTTCGTGTGAACGACATTAGGTCCGAAGCGGGCAATGGAAGCAGTGACTTTTCAATGTCATATACATCTTCTTTAAGATACTGTGGGCCACCCCTGAAACGAAAAACAAAACCAAAAAAATTAAGATAGTCTTATGTGGTATATATGGTTTGACAAAAAAATTACCATGGTGGACTTAAAAACACAACATCCGCCTTCAAAGTCGATGCCAACTCAAAATAGTCGCCCACGATGAATTCAATACGTTCAGCAACTCCGTAGATGTTTGCATTATGCTTAGCCATTTCAATTTTCTTCTCATCAATGTCAATCGCAATAACACGCTGGCACGTTTTTGCAAATTGAATGGTGTTTCCGCCAGCACCACAAAATGCATCCACAATCACATCACATTGACAACGCATTGCTGTGTAGATTGCAACTTTTTCCGGTGTTACCGAGAACCAACTTTCTCGGTCCAGTTTAATGCCCAAATCAAATAGAGAAAATAGTGAAAAACGTTTGCACCAATATTTATAGAGTGTTCGATCGTTCGCAATTTCCGCTGGTAAACCGGCTAGCATTTTATTTTGGCGTCGCTTTTTCTTCATTTTTTTACTATTCGATTTGGGAGCAACTGTTTCGCAAATATTATCTTCAATGTGTGTCACACTTGCCGTTTCATCTTTTTGCGTTTCATCAACGTCAATATCACATTTATTATTTTGATTTTCTTCGGCATTGTTGGATTTATCATTTGCATCGGTCACTTTGTCTATTGGTTCATCTATGGTGTTTGTGCTGTCAAAAGCAGCATTGCTTTCGTCGTCTTTTTGTGCATTTTGTTCGGGTGATTCTTGTTTCATGATGCTAATATTGGGAACGAGTTTATCCGCTTCATCCGATGATGAGTCGGCGATTAAATTCAATAACGCCTCATCACGAGCCGAACTATCGAGGTCGATGCGTTTTTTCTTCATTTTCAACATATTATTATGCAAGCGAATATTTCGTTTTCTGTACATAACATGACCGTTTGTATCTTGTGAACAATCATTTTGAAATGAGTATCCCATGAGAGTGAATGCGGCTTTCACACGATCTGTATTTGGTTCTTCCGGTTGACGTTCGATTGTATGCTTGAAATTACCTTTATTGTATTTACCACCAAACGATGTGGGCAAACCAAGCTCGGCCAATTGCTTAAGTTCGGTTAATTCTAATTCATCGTCATCGGTATTGATTGGTTCGCTAGCTATTGATTTGGTGTCTTTGTTTAACGTGCATATTTTCCGTTTTCGTTCAGCGATAAATTCGGTGTAATGTTTATTGTACTGTTCTTGATAATGTTGTTGCCACAACATTTGCCATTGATGATCGGATGAAAATTCATCGTTTGTCATTTCAATTCGGGTCGCTTCCTCTTCGTCAAAATTGAATGGTGCCGATAGTGATGATGGTGTGCTTTCTGACAACTGTGAATTTTCCGATGAGGTAATGCGGCTACTGCAGAAACCATAACTAGACAATGAAATTTGTGTGACATTGGTCATTGAATCGGTTGTATTAATTGTCATTGGAATGCTTGAAGACACTGAATCACATCGTGGCAATACTAAACTGTCCATCATTTCTTTTACATTTGAATCGGATGGATTTGCATCATCGGTTGTTTCGTTGATTGCTTTTCTTTCGGTTATATCGGGTGAATAGGTTGAGACGATAATTGCCATACCACCACGGTTTTCGATTGACGGTGATGATTCAGTTGTTGAATTGCTTGAGCTCTCTTTTTTATTCTCGTCACATTTTGGTTGTGCCTTTTCATCGGCCATCGAACTATCCGATCCTAAATGCTGATATTCGGGACTAATAAAATCCGAATAATTTTCAATCCATGATGTCCATATTAGGCGTTCACAATTTTCCGACCAAAATTTATCCCATTGTCCGTGAATATCTTTGTCGTCGCGTATTTCTGATAAACTATTTACTTGGTCACGTTCAATACTTGTTGAACTACTTTTGCTACCATCGTCACGATGTGATCGTTTGAAAATTTCACGTGATGTACTCGCAACGCCATGGTATTCAGATATATCGGCACCACTGTCTCGTTCGTGTTCATCAGTTGTACAATAATTATCGGTATGCGATGCACTTGCCGAAAAATAACAACTATTCGCATCGGAATCCTCTTCCTCTTGTGAATGTTCTTTTCGATTCATGGTTGTTACGTGATTGTCACAATATTGTTCATTAAACATATCATATGCTTCACTCAATTCCTCTTGTTCAATTACAACGGCTTCGGTTTGATTTTTGACCAATACTCGACTGCACATGCACAGCGTATATTCCCGATCGTCGAGCTCAGGAACGCCTTGTCTTACATAAATCTCGGCCAGTGCTTCCCAATTCGAATCGGTCATTATTTTTTTACAAATGTTTCGAATCAGATAAAACACACACTCAACACACGAAATGTGCTGTACCACACCGATTTTTTTTTTAAATTAAAATCGATCTTTTGCCGCCGCAGTTTCAAGGTTAAAATACTCTCATTTCAATCAGAAGCAGTGAAAATGTTGCGTTTTGCTCTTGTTATTGTTATTACTATTATGAGTAGTTAGATTTTCATTGTCATTGTCAAGGAATTGAAGGCCTATAAATGCAAAGAAATATGTATATTTTTAGTGGAAAAATTCATAATAAACACATTTTAACACAATATAACCCAACTTTATTTTCAATTTGTAACAAAATACCATACCTGCAATTGAAAATTTTGGCGATTTTGCAAAGAGAAAAATTCACGTGAAAAGGATTTATTTCGGCAACCAAATTTTTATGTAGAAAGAACACACCAACAAAAAAAAACACTTCTTTATCTTCTAAGTTAGCAATGGTTTATGTATCATGCTGAACAATGCATGAAGAGCTGTCATTGCCTATACCATACAGTGAGAAGCGATGAGCGGCAAAGTTGAGAATGTTCGCACAAATTTTACTCAATTCAATGGATTTTCAATGGTTTTTCTATGCTTTTTTTCATTTAGAACATTTTTCACTATTTTCTATTAAATATTTATCAACTATTTTATAGGAACGCTTACCAAATCATCTTAATTTTTTCAATTTTACTTACATCGTTTGCTGAATATAGTATTCAGCACATTTTGTATGTGTGTGTAATATATGCGTTTGACAGTTCTGTCAATGAACGACGTCGGTGTCACTGTCAAACAAAATTCTGAATGAAGCGAAAATTCATCAATAACACACAAAAAAACCATCCACAGTGAATCAATAGCATAACTTTTTTTAAATATATATTTTGATTAAATTAACAATTCCATTGACAAATCGCACAAATAGAATGTAGAAACGTTAAATAAAAAGTTCAAAAATATAAAAATGGATTAAAATAGATTATTTTTTTTTGATATTGCGGTCTATATCGTGTTTTAACTTAGTGTTTAGTTACTTAGATTTTTTTTAAAATTATATTTACAAAATGAGTACGTATGAGAACAACGTATTGTACAGGCCGCTTATCTCAAGTGGCAACGGCAACAGTTTTGCAACATTAATATTTAATTGGATCAAACACATCAAAGTCTACAAAATAATATGCCTAATTCTGGTTCTGCTGTTTGTGATTCCCATGCTAGCTCATTATTACATATTAAATGTAAGTGAACATTTTCCGTATTAAAAAAAAAACACATTTTGTAATGAATCAAAATTATGCTTGTGTAGATGGAACCCGGAGTTAACGAAACCGAAACTCATCATTCTCGATCTCAATTAGATGTTTATGAGGATATAAGTAATTTACGTGCATCCGATTTAAAATTGCGCATCGAAGAAATGCTGCGGATAAAGGTAAACTGGATTTTTTTTTTTCATTTACCCAACCAACTTTTTTTTCTTGTTGTTTAATTCGAACGTATTATTGTTATTTTTTCTTCCAGAGCACCGTTTCATTAGAATTGCGTGAATTAGAGTCTCGTCGACAGAAGCTCCAGACCGACATTAGTTTGTATAATCAAAAAATCGACGAAATTAAACAGGATGTACTACGACAGGTATTTAAGCTTTTTTATCAAGAAGTATTGAATCTATCAGTTATTAAAATGTCAATCGTTTCGTTGACAGCAAACCGAATTGGATCGTTTAAAAATTTCCGTGGAACAAGCGCAAGTGGCACAACGCGAAGCTGTGCAACGAAATACTCCCGAATTGGCACTGCCAAAGCCAATCTATGCCGGAAAATTACCTGCAAAAAATCCGTCCCCAACTCATGCCGAATCACGTAATTGTAAAATGAGTACATGTTTCGATCATTCACGATGTAGTCTTACATCCGGGTTCCCAGTTTATCTCTACAATCCAGACGAAATTCAGATAATTAATGATGGATTCGACATAGATGGTTTTCTTAAGACAACAATAAAAGACGTGTTTAGTCAAAATGCGCATATGACCAATGATCCGAATAAAGCGTGCGTTTTCTTAGTGCTTGTAGGCGAAGCACTATCAGACGATGAAATTATGCGCAACAATCGGTATTCGATTCCGAATGAGAGCATTTCACCGTTAAAAAGTCCACTGAATACGACAAATTTGAAAAACCTTGCGTATTGGGGCGGTGACGGACGAAATCATATACTCATCAATTTGGCTCGACGCGATTTGAGCGTCGGTTCAGGTAATGTATTCCGTAATCAATATACGGATCGAGCAATAGTTATACAATCAGCATTTGATGAGCACCAATATCGAAGTGGATTCGATTTAATTGTGCCACCAATTTTGGGTCCGCCCAACGGTGATGTTTGGCAGGAATGTTCACCAATTGTACCGGCTCGCCGAAAATACTTACTCTCATTTCAAGGTGAAATGAAATCACAAAACGAGACAAACAGTTTGAATCAAAATCAAAACGAAGAAATAACACTGAACAATTTCATTATTGAGCATTTGAAGCAGATTTCAAATGGAAAAAGTCTCGATAAATTTCTTTTGCAATTTGAATGCAATCCAGCGACCGAACAAAAAGCGGATCGAACCGAAGTGCGTGACTGGATGTTGTGCGGAACTGATTCATCGAGAAAAGCAATATTAAAAGACTCAACATTTAGTTTAATATTTTCGCCGGGCAGTGGAGAGGTGAGCTCAACATTATTGCAGGCTCGATTGTATGAATCGTTACGCTCTGGTGCCATTCCGGTTATTTTGGGAGCTGATCATATTGTGTTACCTTATGAGGAGGTGATTGATTGGCGTCGAATTGCAATAATGTTACCAAGAGCACGAATCACGGAAATGCATTTCTTACTTCGAGCCATTCCGGACAATGATTTATTGGCGATGCGACGTCAAGGACGAGTGATTTGGGAACGATACTTTAGCACAGTTCAAGCAACAATCGACACAATTATAGCATACGTACGAAATAGATTGAATATTCCACCGAAAGCAATAAAATCATATAAATCACAAAGTGTTTTCAATTCAACATTTATACCATTGAAAGCTGAACCACCGGTGTTGGATGCCGAACCAGAAGAATCGTTGGGACCAATTGAACCGCCGTAAGTTCTTTGTTAAACTCAATGAAAATCTATATATTTAATCGATATTATTGTAGATACCCGAGTCCGGCATACAAACGAAACTATACGATTACACAATACAAGGATTCATGGAACGATTGGCTTGATCCATTCTCGCTGTATCCGCAGCTTCCGTTTGATCCGGTTTTGCCATCCGATGCTAAATTTATTGGCTCACACATGGGCTTTAGGCCGATCGGCAAGGGTTTAGGGGGTGCTGGCAAAGGTCTGTTCGAATCAACAATTTGCAGTGATCATTTTTCAAATAAAATCATTGCTATTTTGTATCAATTTTTATAGAATTCTCCGAAGCCCTTGGCGGTAATTATCCACGTGAACAGTTTACAATTGTAATGTTAACATATGAACGTGAACAAGTGTTAATGGATTCATTGGGTCGACTGTATGGACTACCATATTTGCACAAAGTCGTGGTGGTATGGAATTCACCAAAACCGCCACTAGAAGATTTACGTTGGCCAGACATTGGTGTAGAAGTAAGCATTGTGCGAGGTTCAAAGAATTCGTTAAACAATCGTTTTTTACCCTTCGATGTGATTGAAACTGAGGCCATCCTATCCGTTGACGACGATGCACATTTGCGACATGATGAAATTCTATTCGGCTTTCGAGTCTGGAGAGAACATAGGGAGCGAGTCGTAGGCTTTCCTGGCCGATATCACGCTTGGGACGTAAATAGTAATTCTGCATGGAATTATAACTCAAACTATAGCTGTGAACTGAGCATGGTGTTGACTGGTGCGGCTTTTTTTCATAAATACTACACATATCTCTATACGTATACCCTGCCGCAGGCGATTCGAGACAAAGTCGATGAGTTCATGAATTGTGAGGATATTGCATTGAATTTCCTTGTGTCGCATATCACACGCAAACCACCCGTTAAGGTTACTTCACGTTGGACTTTCCGATGTCCAGGGTGCCCGATTTCGCTCAGCGAGGACGATACACATTTTCAGGAACGACACAAATGTATCAATTTCTTTTCGCAAATATTTGGATACATGCCATTACTTAACACACAATTTAGAGCCGATTCAATACTATTCAAAACACGAATACCACACGACAAGCAAAAATGTTTCAAGTACATTTAAACGGCGTTATTTTTAGTTTTTTTCTTTAAGTTTTAAACTTTTTTAAGTTTTTTTTAAGTTTTTTTTTATTTTATTTTTTATTAAATGTGAAAACTGTGTAAATCAATGTCAATGTTCAATGTGACCGATAAATATATGTTATTACCATATCGATGATGTAGGTGCCATACTTAGGAGTCAGGTGTCTATTTATAAAAAATAATAATATTCACGATGAATAAATACATATATTAAGCAGCGTATTTAGTGTTTTTATATTAAGATTATATTTATCTTCTTTGGATTGAATTGAAAACTCAAAAACTAATTTGGAAAAATATATCTTAATCGACAATTAATACATGATCTGGTTTTATTTAAACGCACCGATGGGACCGCTTGCATTATTTAAGGTTTATCAGAACCAAGAATCGTTTTTTTTCGAACCGGTTTTTTTGGATCCTTTTACCATTCAAACCAGGAAAATCAAATCTCTTTAATATGTTTGGCTGGAAATATCGGAATTAAAAGTATAACTTGCAAATTAAAGAATGATACGTGAACATGTACTGTGGCAATTTATCATTCAATCGACCAGATGACTCATCCCGATGAAAATACGGCAATGGAGTGAATTATTGATTTGAAATTCCGTATGTGTACTTCTACTTTACTGATATGTAATCCTCTTAAAATTAATATTTTCATTTTCATTATAGTATCCAAATTAAATTATTGGAAAATTTTCACACAACCACCTGATGTCGAGACAGAATCAACTTAGCTACTCCCATATGCCAAATCGTTTACAAAACGGCGATATTCTGTAAATCGGTCCTTTCGGAGAATTTAACCTTGAAGCATTTTGTGACGACATATATATTTTTCAATTCTATTCCCGAGTAGAAAAAAATGACTGACTGACTGGTTAGCTAAAATCGACTGAAATTGAATTTTGTAAACTGAAGTCGTCTACCTAGTCGACTTTAGTCGTCTATGTATGTCATTTTAAACAGATGACTAATTTGGGACGTTTTTGTCTATATAGTCAACTGCGATTGAAGTTGAATTAATTTGTATTTTTCTCTACTAGGAATGACTGAAAAATCATCCAAATCAACTTAAAACAACTTCAATCTCAGTTGGTTTTAGCCAAAAACGTCCCAAATTAGTTAACTGACTAGTCGTCAGTAATTTTCCACAGGGTTCTCGCTATAATAAATGAAATAATGATAATCACGTTCCTACTACGGTTTTCTTTCTATAGATACCCAAGCTAATAGTCCTCATTAAGATTTTAAATTAATGTCCTCTTAAAAACGGGCAATGTCATAAATTTTGACTTGTTTTTCTGGTTCCGCAAAATCATCCTGCGCATAGAAGAAATAAATTAGCACAATTTTACTTTAAAAAAGACAAGCATTGTCTCAATTAGTTTCTTTCCACGAAAGACCGTAATGTACACTTTCAAGTTTCGATGACTAACGATCAACAATAATAAAAAATGCGCATCATACAGATGTATATACACCGGATGAACGGCGTCTTTGTTATTTTAGTCTTCAATGACACTCTCGATTTTTATATTCCACTGATATATTATTCACGTTGAAACCCAATTAAAATCTCGGTTAAATGCAATTTAAATGGCTTTGTGTGCGTTGTCTGTCTGAAAATGACCGAAGTGGTCAATGCCGTCACCGGAAATTGTTTCTCATTTATTTTGAGCAAAGTACTTATTTAAAGGCGAAATTACGTTTTTTTTTGTTGTTTCTTGAATAATTGAAGTTGACCACATAATATAGAATCGAAATTTAATTCGTGTGCGAATTCCGCAATAACAAACAAAGAAACATACGGCAAAACAAAACTAAGCCAAAATATAGAATGGGCCATTAATTCTAAGTATTGGCTATTGCAAATGGTTATTTTGATTGTTCGCGAATTACAAAATCGGACTCTTCGATGAATGAAAAAACAAAACACTTTTGTTCATCAGAATTCAAACAGTGAATATTGAAAAGACATGCATGATCATTTTCTTTATTTCAACAGTAACTAGAATAGGAAACGTTTCATGCAGTGTGTGATGTGCTGCTTTTTTGTATTTAATGAATGCATCATGTTGTTGGGGCAAGCTGTTCGCTTCACTCATTCCTACTACGTGCTTTATGAATGTGCTCAGTCTTGAATTCGATCAATCTACACCAATGTATGAAACCTACAAAATGTAACAACTATACTGCAAACAACAACAGATTTTTTATCGTAAACGTAATGCCAAACATTGTTCATAATGAAGAAGACGAAAAAACAATAAAAAAACCACAACGACGATGTTGAGAGAGAGAGAGAGAAAAAAAAACGTTTAAAATTTGTAGCAGTAGCAATCTAGCAATTTCGGCGATGAGCGTAGAAGCGTTTTTGGATATTGCAGCACAAGTCTTTTTCGCTTCGATGGTTCCGGCATGTGTAGAAGGAAAAAATAATAAACAAAACGCACACAGAGACACACGTACACACGCAAAGTCCATAGCACATCCATTGATTCACCCAACAAACAGTCACACACAAGTGGAAAACAACAACAACAATTTGGCTTAGTTTCGGTAGTGCCACTGTGAAATGGTTGTTTCATACTTACTTCATCCAGGCGTTTATTTTCATGCACTGAAGAAAACCACCAATTTAGCTTTGGTTCGTTCAACCATAAGCATACAATGTACACGGTGCTCGAGACATCGAGCAGTCATTCTGAAACATTGGCATCGACTAGACGCACACATAACGTCTCCACACAAAAAACCATCCACATTTCAACATTGACGACAACGAACAATACACTAAGTTCCTGTCCCCATAGCTAACACCAAAAATCGTGGAATTTTCAATTCGTTTACCTGTCGACTAATTTACTAGAGCAAACTGTGTGGAAAAAAATTGAAAAAAAAATAAATAAAATAAATGTAAATCATAATTCATAGTGAGTGAGAGTCCTTTGAAGGATGTAAGTGATTTAGAGACTTGGCACTATTTTCCATAAATGTGAAATGGCGTGCAGTTTTAAGTATATATATATTCATATGAAAAGAAAATTACGACGAAAGTGTGTTAATTGTGGATATGGCCAATAAATTCATATGAACGGTTCGGTTCAATATCCTTAAATCGCATTTTCACATGCGAATGAAAATTAATGCTATCGGTGATTGTAATCATTCGAACGTAATTCTGTTGAACGATTCGGCCTGCTGCATTTCTATATTTCTAACGTGCCACGCTCGAATTGTAACATTGTTGGCATCGTATAATGAAATTGTATGCAGTTGAACGAGGCGACAACAAACGGTTTATTTTCAACAATCATTGTAATCGAGCACATTTTGCAGATTGTTGACTCGGATCTGAATAAGTGATGGTACCGTTGTTCTTTCATCGTTCAACATTGGAACGGATGATAGCAAAAACAAAGTGCTCTATAATTTTCCACAAATCAAATTGACATTTTGTAATAAATCTGAATTACATACCATATTCCGAAGAAGTAAAAAAAGCTATGTTGCAAAGTCATCGAATAGATTTTATGTAAAAATAAGATTTGCAAATAAATTTCGAATCGGTTCAATTTATTAACAGCAAAAAAAAGCCATACGGTAACTGTACCACTCCTAAATGTTACATACTCAAGAGGTTCATTTAATTCAATTTTGTAATCTTTATGAACGATCGTTCAAATGTACAGGCAAAACGTTTCCATTTATCCAAACCCAATCGTTATGCATTTTTCCTCAAACGATATCATTTCATCTTTTATTTTCAAGCAATAAACTTCTGAACTCCACTCTTCAGTTGTCGTAATCTTATTGAGTGCATTTAAATAAATTGAACCATATTTCATGCAATCTCCATTTTTACGTGTGTGTGCGTTCAACTTGGGATTGGTCAAAATTGTTTAATTACCCAGAACGTTTGCAAATAAACTAAGCTTTAAAGTTACTTTAAATGCAAAAGTGAACATCTTTTGCATTTAAAAAAAAAGAGAAACTGTAAATGGTTTTGTGGCCCGAAAATGCGGAAAAACGTGTTAAATATTAATAAATGCGTGTGTATGCGTGCATTTTATATAATAATTTAAACAAAGTGTGTTCATCGAACTGATGAAAATAAGGCTTGAAAACGAAGAGCGGTAGGTGATTGCTTAAACGGATGTCCATTGCAGCAAATGTTTGTCTTGTAATTTTGCGAAAAAAAAAAATACCGCCATTTAAAAACATGAAGCACTCAACGATTTTTCAGCGATTTTCATTTGATTGTTATCGCGACTCTTTGTTTCATCGTTGAACAAAATTCACGCCTCCGTCCGCATATACAACGCTCGCTCTAACAAACTCAATTTACGTAATTTTTCGCTAATTGTTTACGTGGCCAAAAATTAATAATTCAATTTAATTTTGAGCTGTTGCGATCGCAAATATGTGGCCCACATTCGACCACAAACTACGGTGACTAATTAATTTATGCGATTTTCATAATCATAGCATATTTGCACATATGTGCTCATCCACAAATGCAGTTTTTGCTGGGTATAGAAAGGCTGTTTCGTTGTAATTTACACGGTCAAATCACAATTTTCGATAAAAATCATCATTCACATTTGATTTATAACAAATCGCTACAATTAGAATCTTTTATATTCAACAGGAGAAGAAAATGCAAATTTATGGAGCCGAAGCAATCTTTCGAAATCAACGATTGAATTATTGCCATTACACGACGGAAATAATTGTGAAAACGAAGAACAAAAAACAAACGCGAGCGTGGTACAATTTGATCACAAAGTGATTTCAAACAGTTTAAAGTGTGCGCGTCTATATGTGAATGTTATTGACAACGATTTATCGGATGTTGCGCCCATCTCGAAAATTCGTTGAATTCAACCGAATCAGTTAAAATCGAACAGCAATCAAAACAGTTTAAATTGATTTTTTTTATTAAAACAAAAACTCACACCTTTGAGTGATCGATAAGTGTTTTTTGTTCCTTCCAAATTTTCATTCGGAAAACAACTCAAAGTTAAACGCCCTAACACCGACCGTATTTTTTTTCGAGTGCAACCTCCATCGAAGTGCTTTCTTGCGACAAGAAAAACGCAAAGAAATACCAAATCGAAAAGTAAGACGCCGGAACAAATACGAAAAAAAAAGAAAAACAAAACGGTCGAGCCGAAATTAAAAACGCTGTGAAATCGATACGGAGCACTTTTTATGTGGCTTATTGGGCCAATGGGTGCGTGAATGAGATTGTGATTGAAATATTTTTTTTATGTTGTTGTTATATTGTTTCTCCGTTTTGAGCTTAAAAGAAAAGTTAAACAAGACTCTGGCAATTTATTAACCCTAATTATGACGGTGCAAAATAATTGAAACGAGAAAATAGCAAGAAGAAAATACCGTGTGTGACATATCGCTAATGACCAGAACATGTACGAAAATGAGCGTGAATTACTTGCTAATAATTGGATTTATTTCAATACAATGTATCACTGGTAAGTTCAATGGTAAAAGAAATTGCTTTATTGTCGTGTGTAGTGTTTGTGCTTTGTTTTCTTCTCTCTTTTTTTGCAGTCTATGAGAGTCATTCATTAAACTTGAAATGAATGAATAACATACATCGCGACAAAGTACACAATCTAATTACATGTTATTCATTTTTTGGGAATGAAAGTAACAGATTTGCAATTTAGCCGTCGACACAAATCGGCTACAAATCGATTTACAAAATGCCATATTTACACACGAACATGTTTGTTGTCAATTTTGTCAAGAGGGAAAAACAATTTATTTAGAAACAATACTGTGATATTGGTTTATTTTTATAGCAACGAAATTTTCGCATTGCTATGGTAATTGTTGCGAGTATGACTGACATTAAGTCATCGTACATTTGGTGCTGATTTAACAATGGGTATCAGCATAAGGTCATCGCTTAAAAAGAAAGAAAAAAAAGATGAGGATCGTTATTGTTTTTGTTTTGCATTCATTTGAAGGGGGAAAAAAAGATGACAGTAAAAATGTCGTAATCTGATCGGATGTCAGGCATAAAACTAACGAAGCGATTTGCATGTGCCGAGACGGCATTCACTGTTTTTGTTAGGCATTTTCAACAAAACTCGATAGTGATCGTCTGAATAGTTCGTGCAAAATGCTGTCATATATCACTGTCCCCAAAAGTGTGTTACATGACAAAGAATTTATGTTGTTTTTTAACCAACAAGAATTTCACATTTTCTGAATAATAATAAGAAATTGACGAAAGAAATTCTAAATGAACAGGCAAATGAGAACGAATTAAAGTCACGGTTGACTTTCACATCAAGTGCATTGACTAAGAAAGAAGATAATATGGCATCATTTATGACGATTTTTCATGCGCATACGATCATGAGCACAATACCATAGCGCGACTTAGCAACTGAATCGTCATTTATTCTGGTTGCCTCATGTGCGTATATCTGACACATTCAAAATTTTGATGGCATTCTTCTTCGACACATTCTCCTTCGTTGGAAACAATAAAGAATTCTTCACTTTAAATTACGAGCCCGTACGTTATAATTATATATGAACGTAACATAAACGGCGAGCGCTGCTACGACACAGGATTTACGGATGACGTGATATGATACTGAATTTCACTTATTATGCACTTGCCACACTGTGAAATGTGAGGCACGAAAAAAAAGACCAACGATTCACTCCCCCTTCGCTGCGAAATGACTGCAAAGACGTGTATATTATGTTTAGTGCCTTTTTTTTCGTTGTGTATTGTTTTTTCGTTGGTGCCGGTTGTTTGTTGGATACATCTATATATATTTTACTGTTGATTTAATGTGTTTGGTCGACAACAGAACGATTCATAAAGACTGCTGCTTTTTTGTCGTTGTTATTCACTCTATTATCTATCAAATACATTTTGCCAAACGTACGGCTTGTGCATGCGAATGCAATTTTCTGTTCGTTCAATTTTATGCTGTTGATATTCGTTGCGCGCGTGAGCTCGCTCGTTTTAACAAGTGCACATAAACTATATCGATGTTGTCTCTCGTGCATTTTTGCCATGGCAAATTGCAACATGAATGTTTATTTCATGTTATTATAATAAAATCGACTTCATTTTCAATACATATAATGTGTGTTTGTGTCACCCCTGCCTTTCAGTCTAATGATTTAATACGGATCACTACCTTTCGGTATATATATTCGATTTAATTGTCAGTGTCGGAAATGACAACATTACAAAGCGATTTTCAACACGGATTCATAAATCGAGCACAGAAAATATATTTCATATCGCAAAAACTTTTGCGGAACGATTACAAAATGACTTAATGTTGAATGTATGAAACGCTTATTCGATCATTCCGTTCTAGTTCCGAGACTACTCTTCTTCTCCTTCTTCTTCTTCTTCCTCCGCACACTTATCGGAAATGATAAATTCATCAAAATATATGCGCTATCATGTAGGGCACTTTTACTGCATCAAATTGGTGAAAGTGATGGACACGGTTAAAACTAAATGTTTGATGTTTTGGGGCTTGGTCTTAAATTTCAAACTTGAATATTATCGCTCGAATCAGAGAAACGTGTGCAAATTGTGTGTATGTGCTGCTGTTGAATATATTGTTGCTGTGTTTGTGTGTGAATGCACTTCGCAGTTCCGTAACATTGCACAAATGAGTCAGTGTAATTTAATTAAAAAATAAAATAAATAAAATCCAACAACCATAGAGTATAGAGTCTGTGTGATTTTCGAATAATTTTATGAAACTCTGAGCACTATGCTGCATAGATGAAAGTTGCTGGAAAAAAGAAATCAAAGCTGAATCTTATTAGTTTGAGATTTACCGCCGCCGCAACGCAACAACAGAGAAAAAAGATTAATTTAAGAGAATGTCAACATATTTTTACATAAAAATTTCGATCCAATTTTGTTCGAAGAAAAAGATTGAGGTAATCAATGTCTTTTTTAACATTAAAAAACATTATAAAATTAATTAACACAAAAAAGTGACAGCATCCATTTCACAATTGCGTTGAATCTGTTATAATTGCGCGCTTTGTTTCATTTTCTCGTTCAAAATCTCGTTCTTCTTTCAATTGTTTGTCAATGCGACAAAATACAATAAAAACATATTTGAAACGATTAAAATCGACCGCAAAAAGGCGATGAAAAAATGGCATTAGACTAAACGCAATGCGTACCGAAAACGCTAATTGTTTCGCATGACAGCATCTCTTCACAAGAAAGCAGAAAAAAAAAGACATATGCGCACGATAAAAATGAAAAAATAGTGAAAGACAATGTTGGATCAGCAATTTATATTTTTTTTAGTGTCGTTCAAGTCGAAAGGTTGCAAATCAACTTTGAAAAAATTCGTCACCGACAATGAAAGATTGTAATAAATTTTTCAACGATTTTATATTAATCTTTTGGTTAATTTCAATTGCAGTGTTTTTTTTGTGGAAACCGATAAAAATGAATGTTTCCACGCATTAATGTGATTTTTCTTCTTTTTTTTCTTTAAATATTTACACAGGTCAATCGATAATCGACAATCGGTGCTATTTAAATGGTGGTGGTTCAGCTGAAAGTTTAGCAGCGAGTGAAGATTTAAGCATTGGATCTGTGATTGGTAAATATCAACAATGCATTCACAACAACACCGAAAAAGAAAAAAGAAAAAGAAAAAAGAAATCGATTCATTGAGTAATATCGATGTGTTGTAAATGCAATGATTTACGTTCTCTTTTTTTATATTTATACTGATGGTATTTTTGAATTGCAGGAACATTAAGTATCAATGGAAATCCACGATTAGATAATGGTAATATTTCGTTAAGCATAAGAGAACGAGATGCGCCAGTATCCATCTTGCCGGGTACAAAGAATTTAGCATTAAATGTTGCGTTGGATCGTGAAGGTAAAACGGGGCCCTCATCGGTTTACGTAAATGTCATTTGTGTACGACGACACACAACCGATCCGGTAAGACCGATGATGTTTCTTATGCAATTATTACGTTTTATGATCAAGTGATATGGAATGAAGTACAAAAAAAAGCGAAATTAAATGAAGTTTTCGATTGTTCAACCAAATAGTCCTTCGTACGCAGCAAGGGAAATGACACATTAAATGTACTCTAGAGGAAAATAAAAATCAAAAGCGATTTTCCTATATTATAATCATTTGGCCTAAGTAAATTCATTGACCTCACAGCGGTGCAGCAGTAGCAACACTCCGCTTTGGCCAAACACACCTATAACTGCATGTTCTCTTTCCATTCTTATGAAATTGACTCAGTTGCATGAGTCGTTTTACATGAATGAAATAATCAATATGTTTACGAGTCACCGTTTTATGTTGTTGCTGTTACCGTTTATTCGAACATACACATGTACACGGCGTATTGTGTACGAAAGTCGTATTTTGTCCAGGTTACCATAGCATTTGATACCATTTTTTTTTATCGTGCATATATATACATAAATATATTTGTGTTTTTGTTTGATTTCGCTCGGCTTTTCTAAACAAAACCTCGCCGAATGAATGGCACGTAAATAGAGTACTTTGCGCCGATTTTTTTTTCTTCTTCCATGATCCGATTCCAATGCAAAATATGTGTAAAACAAAGTTTATGTACTCCATACGTACTGCTTTCGTTTATTCAAACACAAAAAAAAATATCTCGAAAATTGAACGTTTGCATTTCAACAGAGCTCCGATTGGATCGCGTGTCTCCAAGAAATTCATTACCTATTGTTTTCATTTTCTCTATCTCTCTCTCTCTCTCTGGCTCTCTGGTTTTGTCTACATTTCCATGCCACTTTACATCTGGATATTATCGCACGTCGGTGTGTCCACATCTATCGCTTTTCTATTTACAAATAAATGTAGTAAATCTTTTTATTTATATTTGTGTGTTGTTTCAATGTTTGTGCAGAGTTTTGTCATACCTGTTAATGTTCGGGTCGTTGATGTAAATGATAATTCACCGCAATGGATTGGAGCTCCGTACATACTCTCAATATCAGAAGTGACCGTTCCAGGCACAAGGTAATTTGTACAATGCATCGTAAATTAATTACTGTACACGACAGGTTCAAATAACAGAAAATAGCATGGCTGCATGGAAAATTATAATCATTTACGTTTTTTTTTTTTCATTTTGCGCCATACAATCAATAGACAATTGTTCGTGATTGCGTTTATTGTTGTTTGAGCGATTTGTGATTGATCGTTCCCTCTCTCTCGTTCTCTTTACTAAATGATTTTCGTTTTTTGTTTTGCTTTGCAGAATTTTGCAGGGAGCTCGTGCTGTTGACGAAGATGAAAATGGGCCGTATTCAACGGTTGAGTATCGTGTGTTGGACGGTGCATTTTCTGATTATGTAACCTTTGTCACGCCGCTGGAAGGTACACTTGTCTTGCGCAAACCGCTCGATTATGAAACGATCAGAAATTTTACGTTAACGTTGCGTGCACAAGATCAAGGAAATCCACCACGTTATTCAGACACAACGCTCGACGTTATAATCATCGACGCTGACGATCAAAATCCAAAATTTTTACGTGATTCGTATTGGGCCGATTTACCAGTTGACGGTCGAGTTGGTGAATTGAAAATTTTACCCGAACCGATTAGAGCTATTGATCAAGATGCTGGTATATTGGCGCCCATTCGTTATACCATTATGAACTCGCCGGAGTCACGTTTCTTTGAAATCAATGCACGAACCGGTGCTGTCACTTTAAAAGTACCGCTTGGTCAAATGGATTTGGTGCACAGCATCACATTGGTGATTCGTGCCACACAAGTTGATAACAATGATCGGTATGCGTTGACAACGTTGATTATTTCACGTAAAGATTCGGAACGAAATCGGCAATATGATGGATTTGCATTCGTTCAAGCAAAATTCTATACGCGCATCAACGAAGACATTGGCATCGGCAGTCGACTAATGGCTCTACCAACGAATCGCCCTGGTCGTGCAATTCAGTATTTTATTTTAGGCCATGATGCATCGAAAATGTTTCGAATCGGTCCATTGGGCGAGATAATATTGCAAAAACCACTCGATTATGAAAATCAAACGAAACATCATTTTCAAGTATTGGGCACGGACGGTGTTTCAAATGCAACGGCCGATGTGGTCATTGATGTTTTAGATGTAAACGATTGGGAGCCACGCTTTCGTGAAACAACATACGATTTTTCCATTCCAAAATTCGTCGATAACACACGACCATATCCACTTGGTAAATTAGAAGCGGCCGATGGAGATCGCTTTGATAAAATTAATTTGGATGTGAAAGGTTCGTATGCTGAATACTTTCGAATCGACCCGGATGGAATGCTGTGGTTACAACCTCATTCACCGAATATAAGTGTCATGCATTTAGTCGCCACTGCAACGGACACAGGTTTGTTTGACCATTGTTTCATTCATTTACAAATTAGTATATATAAACGACCAGCTATGGAAATAATAACATACATTTTATATTGAATGCAGGACTTCCGCCAAAGCAAAGCTCCGTTCCGATAACAATCACGAATGACAGCATTGAATTAGCACAAACAAGTTGGGCACCCGGCATACTAGCTGCATTCGCCGCTGTATTTGCGATATTTATTTTAATTATACTGGCAATGTGCAGTTATATATACAAGAAAGAGCCTAAAATCACCGGACGAAATCGCGTTCACAGCACCGACCACAGTGCCTCATCAGGATCGAAATTAGTTGGAAACGGTGAAAATATGCCAGCGGTTAACGGAAGCAATGACATACATGCTATCAAAAATCCAAATTTACGTTTGGCCAATCCGTTAACATCTTTATCGGCGCTAAATAATAATCACCACGGTTCTGGCAGTTCTTTATCAGCAGGCGCTTCGACAATTCTGGCCGCAACTTTAGAACGTGAAGCACAACGTGATAGAGACATGGAAAATTACACAGCAACTGTGCGAAGTGAGTCCACTTTGATTTATTGAACTCTATTCATAAGTCATAGGAAACGTTACCAAAAAAAATATCAATCACAAAGATACATACATGATAATAATCTTGTCATGTGAAAACAAACCAAAAAAAAAGAAACAAGCAAAACACTCTCTTTTCAACCAAAAAAACCGTAAACCAAAAATGAAAACAAAATACCATATGATAAATTATCTAATCGTAGGAATTTGCGAATAAAACACATTATGTACAAAACCGTATTTCTCGCTAAAAAATATATATATATGCAAATCACAAATGCTAATCAAATAGGAAATTTCACTGCAATAAAAACAGTGTATAGACATAATAAAATATCTCAGATTGAGGAAAATAAAACCAAAAAATTCACGTCCATAACACAAACAAATACTTGATGAATCGATTCAGGTATAATATCGAGAGCGTCAGCCGCTCGCGGGGGTAATTTATACGATGATGACCTAGAGCATGATTCGATTTCAAATTCAGAAACAAATAATCGACTCGCATGGAATTTGCCAGAGGACACACGAGCCATGCACACACCAAACAAGCTGAGCTGGAGCAACGGAGGATTGAATCCATTGCGAAAGGTAGCACCCTTTTTCTATAGTTTCTTTTAAATTGATAAGAACATTCATAATAATGATTGATATTGTTTTCCTCTCTGATTTCCACCATTATTTTTTTTTTCTTCTCTTTTTCTCTGTCTTCATTCTCATCGACAGACTGACACTATGGATTCCAGCGATATAATCGATTCAACGGAAAATGCCGTTTACTTTTAAGACGACAAGTTTATCTTTTATAAAACAGCTTAAATGAAGTTACGTTATCTTTTGTAAATTGTGCAGTTATGTATTATGACATAGGTGTAGATGAATTTCGTTAGACGTTTAGATTGATGATGATGATGATTTTTTTTATTATTGATACCAAAGTAATCGATAACCGGAACATCTCGCTCTATGCCAATCACTCTCATCAATAGTTTTGTGTACAGTTTTTTTCTTCTCAATAAAATGACTTCCTTTATTTTGGTGTACTGCTGACACACAATACATACAAAAATTTGAGAAAAAAATCTTTCGATTCATAATTCATAATTCATTCAACATAAAAAAAAAAATCACTTCATTAAAATGTTAATTAAGTTTTTGATATTAATAAAGCGTTAAGATGAAAATAAATAAGTAGTATTTCGTGTTTTGTGTAACCTTTCGGTGTAATCGCTGTGGTGGTAGTGGTGTTATTACGGTTGATGGAAGTCGGCGATTAGGACTGATTTTCGCTCTTAATCTCAAGGTGTGAATTCAATATACAAGAAATGGAGCAATTGGCAGCAGCGAAACACAACGCATTTATCAAATTCCAAGCAAAACCGTTTGAAATTGCGAGCGCACACATATATATTTGAACAATGGTAAGATCTTTTTTTTTCTTTCTGTTCATTTCAAGAGTGCGTCATGTGACTAATATATATATTATTATATCGCCTTGCCTTGAAAATAATATGGAAAAACAAACACACATACACACACATATATTTCAAATGGTTTTTCGGTTTAACTATTTTTTTTTCGCTGTCTGAAGACATGTTAATGCGATTGCTGAAAATTTGCTTCAATTTAATAGGTTCGTTACTATTGAAATTGTTTTGTGGCTTAGCACTTTTATCATTCATTCTTCTCACACGAACAAAAAGTTGTGTGCGCCTGAGAAATTATAGAAAATGGTGCAGTTTAACGTATTTCCTTGGTCGCACATAATTAATTACGCTACGTTGTACGGAAAACAATGAAACAAACAATTTGCGCGCAGCAGAAAAATGTACAACGAATCACACAAACGAACAAGCAGCAATTCAAAGAATTTTCAATGTTGGCAGCAATGGCAGTTTGAAAGACAATATACACTATGATTCTCATCTTTTTCCCCCCACATAAAATCATCTTCTTCTACTCGAAGCCTAATGCCGAATAAAGAAGAAAAACAATTTCATGTGTTTTGGTCAAATGACAGTTTACCGTAACAAATCTAGAGCGGTCTGCGTTCGTTCGCTACCGAAACGCACACATCAACAATAGAATTTATCTTCATCATTGCAATGTGAACACATCGAACATAATGAAGAAAGAATGTATTATAGTAATAGGCTTAAAAATAAGAATGGAAGAGAATGCGTTTTCCATGCGAACAACAACGGTGCAGTCACATGATATTCATTCGGACATATCACACACATTAACCTTGTCGTTAAATGTTTATGTCTGAAGAAAAACGGATTTTATGCAATTTAAATGATTAGATGGTTTTTTATTGATGAAATTGTCGTGAATTACAATCAAGGTTTATCGATGCTACGAGGTCTTACTGTATGAAAGGAAAGCAATAGCAAAAAATTGGTGTAAGCGGATGTTTACAAGAGAGAATGAACGTTTCTTCCGAGAGACGATCAAAACGCAAGCAAAAATGTCTTAAGAAATGTGTGTGCATGTGTATCTGTATATATTTCGCAATTGCCATTGCGCGAATGCTTAACCAAATGGTTTCTACATGAAAACAGAACGTTCAACACCGATACATTGGATGACGGGCTGCGATCTCAACAGAAACTAGATATTTCAGAGCATTTGGTGATTGTGTTTTTTTTTTCTCTTTTTTTCTTTGCTATCGCTGCCACTTAATATACACACCGTCTTGTGATCATACACCATATATACAACGTATGTGCACTTCGTTTGATTGTGTTGGTGCTGTAAGCATTCCAATGGGTCGATTGTGAGCGAAAATAAGCTTAAGAAATAACCGTGCGAGTCAGTCATCGTTGAACGTCTGAGGTGAACGCCATGTAGATTCAAATTGGCGATCGTTCGAGTGTTTCGACTTAATCTTTTTGATCTTTTTTCTTGTGTGTTGATGTGTGTTTCTTTCCTTATTCAAAATAATCGAGCTGAAGACGTTAAAGTTTAACGTTTCTACATCGATATAGTCGCACAGCGGTAGTAACAGCATTCCAATCGATTGGTGTGTGGATTCTAAGATTCTTTTTATATATATATATTTTTCTTGTTTTCTTTTTCTCATTTGGTTTGAGTCGTTGTTGCTGTTATTTTTGTTATTCGTTTTCTTATTTTGTGCGTTGTTCGCGGCCAAACGAGAGAGTTCGTTTATGATTCGCAATAGAAAATTGTTCGATGTGCGCCATTTATTATTGCGTTGTTTAGTGAATTTTATTGTGTAGACGAGAAGCAAATACAAAGATAGAACGAAAGACAGAAGAGAAAAATTTACGAAAAACACAGAGAAGAGACAAGAGTTATATTAGAAAATTTCATTTGCTTCCGTTCTTTGGTCAACGGTATCGGCAATAAATTCAATGTGTTTTTTATGGTGTATATATGTGTGTGTGTGTGATGTGTGCGTGCGCGCAACAAATCCCAATCGAATTCTATTTGAAACAGTGATTGGAAATCAATCATAAAATCGCCTAAAAACAAACACTGAACAATACATTTTTCTTATATTGTCGCAATCAATGAGCGAAACGAAATATCAAGCAAAAAACATGACCATAACCAATATCGAAAAATTAATTTTGGAATACTCTTGCAGCTCACAGTTTTTGTATTGAAGAACAACTTTAACGAGATTTGGACAGAACGAGTACGCAAAAAAGGTGAACATCATTTCCATATCACACCATTCTAATTTTGGTGTGTGTATGTGTTTTTTTTTTAAATTTCCTGTTTTTATTTTGCCAATGATTTTTAAGAGAAGTGATTTTGTGATTGAAAATTGAAATTTTGCTTTCCTTCAACGCTTGTTATCGTTTCAGTGTTTATTCGTTTAAAATCTTTATCAAATTTCGAAAAAAAGCAATATATTTCGGATTATTCTAATAGAAATTTTCTTGTCAATTCACATTCAAATGTCTGAGGTCACTAAGCATAACCGTTTTAAATCTATTGAAATTGTGCTCCATTCAAATTTCAAATAATGATTTGAAAGTCAGAAAAATTCTTTTTCTTTTTCAATGTGTTACTTTCATTTTGTTGGTTCGATTTATGTCAAGCTTAAGAATATGCGCTCCATTCACAACATTGTTTGTTGCTCCAATTTTTGAAATGTTTAAATTGACATGACTTTAATTCTAGAGAATGTTATTTCTTGAGTGTGTTACAAAATTAAAATCACGACAACCGATTCCGTAATGTTGATCGATCAAAACAATGAAAATGGTAATTTTCCACCAATTTTATACCACGATATTCGTTGCATACAAATGTTGAATTTCGATGATCACAATTAATACAATATGCTTTTTATTGGAAATGAAAAGACGAAGAAAAAAAATTCCAAAGCGAAATAAACAAGTGCGGCGGCACCTTGTTCTAACCATTCTACCAACGAATACAATCATCCGACCTGAATTGGAATAGATTTTTGAAGCAAGTCTATGCGATTAAAATTTGTATATGCGCACACTGCGCAACAGCATATACGCATAAGAAGAATATATTGAGCGACTAAACATATTATACATACACACGCACACTTTTCATTCGTCGAATACCAAAGAGTATAAGCTCAGCTTCGTCTTTTGTTAAATTCTTTTCGATTACTTTTATTTCGGTCTCTTAACATACTTAATCGGTATGTATGTGTGTGTATGTTTCGGTCGCTGTTTTCCAAAATCTTCATTTGCTCGCAACAGCATTGAAAATGAGAAACAGGTATTTTTCTTACTCTTTTGAATATTGTTATTGTTGTTGTTGTTACTGTTTAATTCGCTATTATTATTAGTGTTTTGGATACATACGTACATTGTAATGGGATTAACTGCTGTGTGTTATATTAATTCAATTTTGGTGGGCGACTGTGTGTATGCATTTTTAATGATTTATTTTCAACATACATACATACGTGCTCGCGGTTATAATATTTTTTCTTCATCATCTCAACTTCTATTGCCATCAAATAATGGCGTTGGTCTCGCGGCTACATTTTATAAGTGAGTTTTATAAATACGAAGAAGAAGACTTAGCCGAAGAATTCAAATAGAGAGATAATAGAAAAAAACATTTTCTCTTGATTTGTTGTTTGTTGCATGACTGTTGTTTCACCTATTCGATTTTTATAGGTGTGATCTCGCGATCGCAAGAAACCATCACGTCATCCATTGAAAATAAAAAGACTCTTTTCTGGTGGCTTGATACGCCAAACTGATTTGCATGAGATTTTAATGCGCGGTTGGTGGATTCGATCTCGCTTGCGTCTCAACGTTGCATTGTGATGGTTTCCAAAGTGCACTGAACCATTTCAAGTTAACATACAGATACATTTTGTCAAATATATTTTTGCGTTCGATCGACGAATGGCGATCCACAATCTTCCACGTTCGCCATAAAATATGCGACGTGTGATAACGAAGGTTTTGCGTGTTTTATTATGCCGTCCATGATCGTAAACTAATTTACGTTTGCTTGTTTTTAAATTATATATAAATATGTTTTAATGATTTCCTTTGCGAAGTAAAGGATCAACAAGTGTGATCCTTGTCAGACGCCAGCACCATAGGCCAGCTGTGCAAGTTAATTTGGTGAGCGCCTTGAAAGAATGACAGACCTATAATTTTTAATAACATTTATGCTTGCCTTCGAATCACTTCGAATCGACATTGTTTTTGCTCTGCTGTGTCTTTCTCATTTCGTTTGCACCGCAAGCAAATTGTACACAAACGATAGACGAAATATTGTGCAAATAAATAACTCAGACAGCGTTGAGCCAAGAGGAAGAGAGAGAATCGAGCGACAATAATAATCGACATTTTGCAATTCAAGTCTCCGCCAACGGCAATTTATTCAAAGTAAATCAAATTACGAAATCTTATTTTGAAAATACCAACGTGATCTTGCAAAGAGTAGACTGACGAAGCGACAGAATCACATTTTAAGCTTGCACACTGTCTTTTTTCACGTCGAAATTTATTGGGAGTAAACACTTCGCACGAATCAAACTACATATATACATATGAATTATTTCTTTTTTTATATAAAACATTAGGCATGTGCCTGAAAAATCGAATGGCTTCACTTGAATTTCAACAACGTACATATAATTTTTCTCTCAAATGAATCGAAACGAAACAAGAAATTGTCGAATTCGATGGAACATGAAATGTTATTGCAGAAAAGAAGAAGAAGAAGAAGAAGAGGAAAAAAACTCTGTGCAGCCAACGTAATAAATTGCTTTTTATTACATGTTTACGTATTCTGGTGAGCGAACGTGTGCACAAAAATGCCATATTGACGACGGTATTTATCGAATCCACCGCCGTTCTTCACATACCACATGAAAACCAACAGCAGCATAATTCATGAATTCTTTTTTTTTCGAACGCACAGTCGCACACACATCAAATCAAAAATATTTTGCCTTAAATTGCGACAACCAAGGAATAAATTTGTGCGCAAAATCGCTCACATGCGAACACCAAATCGTAAGCGCATAAAGCAACAGTCAAGATATGGTTTATTTTTGTTTTGGTTTTTTTTTCGTAAGACGAAACAAACAAAAACGAGTTCACACACTTTAATTGCACATATTTATATTCTTGGTTTGAAAACTACGCAACTACCGTATTGTATTCAGTAAAGTTTTAAACCATGGTTTGCGTTAATATCGTTAAACTCACGAAAAATGACAACACCAACAACAACAGCTAATCTCTATCCAAATTGTATAAGTAAATAGAGTGCTCATTATGATCTGTATTTCATTTGATGAAATTTCGATACGTATAATTTCATGTGTTAAATGTGAACGGCGGCGGCCAACAAATAGAAACGAGCTAGTTTTCTTTCGAAACTCGACAATCGTGAGTGCATGCATATAAATTCTGTCAAAAGACTGATTTTCGCCCGAGTGCGGTTTATGCGAGCAATATTTCTATATTTGAATTGAACGGCGAACCTTCCTTTTATGTGTAGTACACACATCACACTGTGCGCATGTATTTCATTTTAGATCGATTTCAACCTGTACATTCAACAACACATATCATACATTACATTTCACATGTGCAATTCATGTTTCTGTTTTTTTTATATTCATGACTTACCGATTTCAAACTGTATTTTATGTGCGTCTTTTCTCTTCTATTTGATACTATTGTAGCTGCTAATACTTCTTCATCTTCTTATATTGTTGCTGCTGATGCCTTTCTTCTTAACATGTTTTTCTGTTTTCAACTAGAAAAGAAAAAAAAACAAATTAAGAAAGATAAAATTAAGTAAAACCGTTATAAAGACAGATATATTTATATAGTCCCCAGTTCGCGTGCTCATGTGTGGAATATGTATGGAACATTGGACGAATATGGCTGTAAGATCATTTTTTTTCATCTTCTTCTTCCACACTTCTGTATGGCTTCGACTTCTTTTTATGTGCCCCGTGTGTGGTTTGTCTTCTACTAGAAAACCATCCAGTTTCTCGTTTCTCGTACCGACAGAATCACACAAAAAATCAAGTAAACAGTAAATGTAATTGTCTTCAAATATTAAAACTACGCGTCGCGTCACCATATGAACTCAAAATACAAAAAAAGTTCGGTTATTCATCTAGATCAGCTCTAGATTTGATGCTCGTCAGCCACACACTGCAATGTCTTTGTCACTCTGTGCTTCTTGTTCTCATTTTCTTTGTGTGGCATCTGATGAATTTTGTGCTTTGACGCTACCTTTCTATCTCAATTTGAATGAGTTTTTTTTTCGAAGCGAAAGAAATCAAACGACAAACAGAACTTGATTCAAGCATTTTATCAATATGGTATTGTGTGTGACTACAACTATTCACTTGTTGCAACACATATATTTTTTTGTGTTATTAAATTGACTCCATCAGCATGAAAAACCACTTATGTTTTGTGACTCGTTTTTTTTTCTCAAATCGACATGCTCATTTCGATTTGGCACTCGTTTTGTGCGCATGCAAGTGGTTGGATTTGGCTAATATCAATCAAAATTGCCGTCATCGTTTCGTTCGAGTTTTTATCCATTCACTCGATTGGCTTCAGTTTTTTTTGTTATGCACTCTTTTTTTTATTTATTTCTTCTGGTTTCAAAGTATAACTGCGAATGTGCCATAATTTATGTCAACCGTAGATTTTCTAGATTAATGGATTGAAATGATAGCGGCACATAAAGCGTAACAAACCCGGTTCGCTTTTATTTCCCTTCATTATTTTCCATATGATTGCAAGCGTTTATCTTGAGCGATCGGCATAAAAGCAATGGTTTTTTTTTTCATGTTTTGTGTTGTATGAAAAGCGCGGCGGCGGCGCCCACAGTGCAACACGGAATTCGGATCGAAAATGCAAATAAATATGACGACAGCGAAAAAAAAAGAGTGGATTTATGTTAGAAACGACATCAACACCTATCATTACACTTGCTTTAACGTGGATTATTAGATTGGCATCGCATTTAACGTTGTGATGGGTTGGGATCGTCGCCTAAGTCTAATGAATTTCATCGCTTTATCGGCGCGATTATAATGATGATTTTTTTTTCTTCTTCTGTCTATTGCCGTTGAAAATAAACCTCAGCTCATAAAATCTGCATAATATGCATTCAGATAGCACGGTAGTGAAACGATTCAAAAGATTTCTATCTATGT